CTAGGTGGCACAGTGGATAGGTAGAGCACCGGCCCTGAAGTTAGGAGGACCTGAATTCAAATTTGGCCTCTAACACGTAACACTTACTAGCTGTGTGACTCTGGGCAAGTCACTTAACCCCAATTGCCTCACCAAAAAATAAATAAATAAATTAAATGAGCACTAATTGTGCTAATTTTCCAACAAAGAAAGGAGAAATTGTATCTCTTCTTTAATTACTACTGTATTTCCTACAAGTGTATCAATTAATGATATGACTTTAGACCCCTAATGAAAGGGTTGCAGTGTTAAATAGAACCTGTAATATGACCTTATTGAAATTAAATTTTATTGAATTTTATTTTATTGAAATTTTATTTATTGAAATATAAATTTTAATATAATATAAATTTTATTTAATATATTTAATATAATATATAATATAAAAATTTATATATTACATATAATATATTATATGATTTAATATAATATATTATATATAATATAATAATATTTAATATAATATAAATTTTATTTAATAAAATTGAATAGATTGGATAATATAGAATTTAGCCCTAATGATTTTGAGCCTAGAACTGAAAATTATTATACTTTCTTTCTCTGCTGCCTCTGATATTGCAACTTTACCGTTCTTCAGAGGAATGTCTTCCGTTTATAGTCATCATCCACCAAGCAGTACTGTAGCTGTCATAACATAAACATTTTATTCAGACATAGGTAACATACATCAGTTGCATCCAGACTGCATGATTTTAAATAACTATAAAGTGGTGTTTCTCTGGTTATTATGGTTTACATCTAATTCAAAGTCCCAGTGATTCATAAAATATCAGTTGTTTTGATTACAAGGCTAAATTTAAGTATCCAAAATAGAATTAAGGTCATCAAACTTTTACCTCCCAGATTAGATACCGCATAGAATTTTGAGAAGTTACTGTTGGTAAAAGCCTTTGTGAATATTGTTAAGGTCCAGTAAGTATGAGTATTCTTGCATAATGCCCTAGCTTGTTTGGCAGAATATTGTGACTATATGGTAAACTCTATTTTATTATTAATGAAATATTATATTTTTATCAACTTAGATTTATGTCATGTTTTTTTTGGAGGGGGGCAGGTGCTTTCCTCACAGCCCTATGAGATATCCCTTAATTTTTTACAGCCTAAACAGGCTCTAAATTTAGGTGACTTACCCAGAGTCACATAGATTTTTATGATGATACCAAAAATCTCTTCCAATTTTAAGTCCTATGATTCTGTGACCCTTCATGTTAAAACCAGAACTTGAAACCCTAGGTTATCTGATGCCTGACTCCTGAACAAGTCATTTAACACAATCCTAGTGCTTTGAGGGGAGGGCAAGGAGTGTGGTGGGGTTATTTTTTCATAAGGGAAGCATGGGGTTGAGGGGAGGAAGAGAGCTATTGTAAGATGAATATGATACAAAAAAAAAAGATCTCATTAAAAATCCCCCCCAAAAAATGAATAAATATGAAATGCAGAAAGGTTGTGACTTGTAAGATGTAGATAGTAAGTAATGGGATCTTGAACTGAACCCCTAGGTCTTACAGTTACTATTATGGGATTACTGCTACGCTGCCCCTTTTTATGGCACAAGCCTAATTGTTTTAATCCTAATTGTTTAATTTCTTTACTTTGGTTTTCCAGGGTCAGATACTGAGAGTAAATTGTATATTACTTTTAGAAACTGAAAATATTTGTTATCATAGCATGTAATTGTCACCAAATAAATTTACATTAATACTACAAATGTTTTATGTTAATCTCTTTCAACAAACTTAACCAAAGTTTTTCATGTAAGAAATATTTTGTCAGAAATCAAAATTAAGGATTATTTGAGTTTTTATGGTGTTTGCAACTGACTCTTCAAAGGTGATTATTAGCTTTTTATATTCTTCATCCTTTTTCACAGATGAGCCCTAAACTAATATAAGTGCAACCATTTTAGATGGATACTTTCTCCTTTCATATTTTTATGTTATCATTTGCATGTTTTTAACAAGTTTTTTTAATTCTGTAATTTTTTTTTAATAATTGAGTATGTGAGTACTTACTATATTCCCAGAATTCCACTCAACCCTCTGGAAAATATGAAAATTCCTGCCCTTTAGGAGATTATACTTTAGTTAGAAAGACAGTACAGTATATGTGTTATAGTGGAAGGAACAGATGAAATAAAGCCAGAAGGGAAAATAGCTAATATGTTAGATAGCAGATCGAGATTCAGAAATACCTTAACTTGAAATTATGTGCTGAAAACATCAAAATGAAATTTGATGAAAACTGATATAAAGTCCTTCATTCCTTTTCAAAAATCATATTGTACAAATATGGGTGAGTTCACATGAAAAAGACAAGTTGACCACAAGCTAAAAATGAGCTAACAGTTTGTTATTGCTAAAATGGCAAATGCAGCCTTAATCTAAATTAATAGAGACATAATATCTTCACAACTCACAGTTTAAGAAGCACTGAAAGAGTCCACAAGTAGAAGAAGTTCAAGAAGCCCTCATCTTGATCAAGGGAAATAATAGATCCAATGTATTCTGCAATGATCAGACCACATCATACACTTCCAGTATTTGCATACTGTTTCTAGGTTAAGTATATTGTTTCCTCAATCCCTTATCATATTATAGGATTTCCAGGTTTTTCATCATCCTCACCGCCTTGTGATACAAATGAAGGTTAATAAATACATTCTGTGTTGCTTAGAAATTATAGGAATACAGGTTTCTTTTCAGTAGAAAAACTTTTAACTATTAGAATTGACAATGGAATAGGCTGTCTGAAGAGATGGTGAGCTTCGTATTGATTCAATTCAACAAGCCTTTATTAAATGCCTCCTATGTACCAAGTACGGAGCTAGGTGAGGGAGACAAGACAGAAACAATCTGTCCTCAAGGGAAATTCAGATAAATGCTACATATATACAGAGTAAATACAAAGTCATTTTGATGGTTTGAGGAAAGGTCTTTTGAAGGAGTTAGCAGTTTAGCTCAGCCTTAAAGGAACCCAGTGATTTAGGAGGTGAAGAGATTCTAGGCATGGAAGATAGCTCTGCATGAGGATGAAGTTGAGAGATGAGCTGCTGTATCCAGATGATCTTAAGGAACCTAGCTTGGCTAAAATGTAAAGTATACAAGAAAGATTAATGTGAAATCAGTCTGGAAAAAATAAATTGGCACTAGATTGTGACTATTGGTAAAAATGTTCAATATCAATTTGAACAAAATTATTAAAGATTTTGTAGAAAATATTCCTCACTTGAGAGAAATTTTGCTGGATGATCTGTAAGACCCTTCTAATTCTAAGAATAAGCTCTCTGTGTCCTGGGCTCAGTGGAGGAAATAAGTTTGAGTTAATGGAATTGGGCCACATTCTGAAACTCCATAAAAGCCAAATAAAAGAGTTTAAACTTCATCCCATAGGTAGTAGGAAACTATCACAGGTCATGGTACCTCATCTCACACAAAAATCCCACTCTGGGGCCTTATCATGTCTTGAAAGTGGCCTTGGAATGGTTCTTCAAGGATGTGAGCAGAGCAGAGTGCAAGTGTCAACAGGTCCTACAGAACTAGAAAGGCTTTTAATATGGAGCCATGAAGGTGTAGGTCTCTTATCAGAGAATTAGCCTGGAGAGAAGTCTGGAGAAGCTAACCATGAAAAGGTTGGGAATTTTTGTCACCTACGTTGTGAAGAGGAAGGACCTGTACCTATGAAATCTTAGATTTTTCAAAATACTTAGGAGGTACACTATGCCAAGCGCTGAGGTACATATAGAGCTCGATAAGATATACCTGTTAAATGGGGAGAAATTTACTTCTTGTGTAACCTGTAGTCTCTTGGTCTTAAATACATTAATGCATCCTTTCCCCCACATTAAAATAAATAAGGCTTGTAACACTTTGATTTAATCAAAATCACCAACAAAAATCAAGTCTTTAAAAGTACTGAAGTATATTACTTAGTATCAAAAGACGAACAGAAAAATAATTTATCTGACTTTATTCTTTCAACTTTTTCTTTCCAACCTTATTCATAATTATACTTTTCCTTTTCTTTGATCCTTTAACTAGCTAAAAGTTGTGGGTTTTTAATCCTGTTGTCTGATAACTCTAAAGGTAAATATTTTTGTCTATGAGGGAATATTTTAAGATTTGAAGTTAGTGAAAAGAAAAAAGAGTTGCTTCATTGTTATTGTAGTTTTTCTATCGTAACTGAAATTTTGTACTTGCCTTATTATTTTCATAATAATACTTTTATAGTGTTATGTTTAATTTACCCTATCAGTTTCCTACTATTGTGTGCTTTCTTGGAGTTAGCATAATTAGACTGCTTTTTGACTGATCCACATTTAAGTTTTGTATGAAAAAGTAATAATTTATTTTTTTTAAACCTAAAGAAAAGGCTAACTATGTATCTATAGCATTAATTTCTCTGTTAATACTTCTTATTTTATTTTGAGAGCTAATATTTTTCAAGTTAAGGATATGAACCATTAAAATGCACTTACCTCAAACAATGCTATACACTGTACAGAGAACTTTGATCTTCAACACATTGTCTTTCTTAAGGTGAGAATTAGCCATAGGAGAGAATAGAGGGGAGAACATAAGGAAAGAATACTGGTAGGTCAAATCTTCGAAAGAGAGAATATTTGCAGGAAAGTAGCAATCTATCCAGGTTCCTAGAAAGTGACTTCACTAATAAAGGACTATGCCAAATAGAGTTAGAACATGCTGTAATGTCATCTCTACAGGAGACATTACTTCTGAATCTATGGGAGTAGGGAAGAGCCAGGTGAATAAAAGCCTTTTTTCCTTGAGGTGTTCAATATGAGATCACCCTTCATGTTACCAAAGATTTTCAGTTCAGCAAACATTAAGTGCCTACTATGTGCAAGACTTATGACTATGTGCTTATTTTACCATTTAAAAATCATTTTGTGCTAATAGTGAAAAAAAAAATGTGGGTTTTAGTTTGCAGTTAACATGTTTCGAACATTACCACCGTCATCCAATCCCACTGGAGCAGAATTTGATCCAGAGGAAGATGAACCAACGCTAGAAGCAGCGTGGCCTCATTTACAGGTATTTAACTATAGGATTTCACCTTGGGGACAAGGGAAAGAAAAGGTTGGTTTTTCCACATGGTCTGTGAGCATTTAGAAAAGCGAAAGGGTACTCTTCCCCACCCACCCATCCTCACTTCCTCTTAGGAGCCAGCGTGTGTTCATTAAGAATACTAAGCAGTAGTGTGCTGGAGTCAGCTCATAAAAGTTCATGAGAGCTAGTTGTTAAATTTTCAATGTGATTATTTAAAAGTTGGAAAATGCCAAATGCTACATATTAGGGTTCAGTTCATTGTTTCATCAGTTGTATAAATTTAAGAAAGTGATGGGGGAAAGTTTAATATTGTAGATTGAATTAAAAGTGTGTCGTACATACTTTTTTTTTTTGAGAGCTGGTTGTTAAACATTTACCAACAGACCACTGATACTAAGTTATAATATTCTTGAGAGAATTGAGGCAAACCTTAGAAAGGAAAAAGAGAGGTTTAAGAAATGAACCAGAAAAGTAATGTGATGAAATAGTTAACAAAGAAAGGTAAAAAGATTAAGTGTAGCAAATTGTTTCTCACATCAGATGTTAGGTTTTTTCCCTCTGTAAAATATGACATAGATATAAAAATACTATATTGACAGGCTATATGCTATAAAGAAAAGGTAAGATTCTAGTTCTTTTGCTGTTAGGTACTAGGTCCAGATAGATAATATGCTGTGCTTAAATTTCAAAGGTCAAGCCGATATAGAAACTCAGAATTTCCTTTGTGCTTGGCTTTCTGCCTTCACCTTGCAACGCTTTCAGGGACTGGGATACTTGCCACACATTAGAAGGCTGGCCATGACATGATTTGTTGACAACCATGGTCTCTACAGTTGATATGGGGCAGCAAAATTTAAGCATTAGTAAGATACAACATTCCATTACCATAAGGTTGGTTACAAGATGGTGAATTTTTTTTGGTCATAGCAACTCATGAGGATCAAAAAACTGGAAATGTTGAAGGAATCTACCATGAAAAATGTTATTCCATAAGTAAAATTGCCCTCTAAGAAAGAATACGTCCAGTATGCATAGTATGGAAAGTTGTTCGTTCTAGCAACTGTGTTAGGTTAAGCCATGTAATTAGCATTTGCTTTTTAAAAAAACAGCTTTTTGTTTTAGTTTAGATGAGCACTTTTGAATGTTCTTATCTAAAAGTTAAAGTTCTCTTTAAACACACATAGTAAAAAAATTAGAATTTACAGTGTGGTTTTTTTATTGCTATTCTTTCTCTCAAACTAATGCAACTGTTTGTCTTTTTCCCTAGCTTGTTTATGAATTTTTCTTAAGATTTTTAGAATCTCCAGATTTCCAACCTAATATAGCAAAGAAATATATTGATCAGAAGTTTGTATTGCAGGTGAGAATTTTACCTTAAACATTTTAAATATATTCATTTACAGTGGAGTTTTTTTGAGTAAGTGTCCATTTTCCTTCTTTCAGCTTTTAGAGCTCTTTGACAGTGAAGATCCTCGGGAAAGAGATTTTCTTAAAACTACTCTTCACAGAATCTATGGGAAATTCTTAGGCTTAAGAGCTTACATCAGGAAACAGATTAATAATATATTTTATAGGTAAGTTAAATCTTGGATTCTCTTTGCCTTTTTATGTGGTATAAATTTATTATGACATTTAACACTCCCTCGTTTTTTGTGTCCAGTTATTAGCCCCAGTTAACAAGGACTGTACTACTGTCGCTGCAACCTTCCTTTGCTACTCTTGTTTCATGGCATGTAGATAACCCTAGGTAACCTCTCAAAGGCTCTGCCAGTGGGAGTATAAGCTATGGCAGAACTGGAGAGTCCTTAATTTATAGTCTCATCACCATGTTGGTTGCAAGATGATGAATTTCTTGGCCACAGCAATCTTCAAAGACAGAGTTGTAGCAGGGTAGTCAGGGTTGGTGTTAGGAATACCTATACCAATAAAATCACAGATCCTTAAAGTATAGTAAATACCACTGTCAGCCCTCTCTTTTTATAACATTTAAAAGAAAAATAACCTTGACCTCCCTTCACACTCAGAAGAAAAAAAAAGTTTAAAAAGTTTTATCCTGGTGTTTACATGATATTATATAAACATATTCACTTTAATAAAGTGATTTTTTTTTGAAGGCATGGCTTCCAGAAATAAGGGATCAGTAATCCATCTGTACTCTGTCCTAGTCAGACCATATCAGGACTCTTATGTTCAGTTCTGAATTCCCCAGTTGATAAGTTAGAAAGTATACAGAGAAGAGCACCAAGGATGAGGGCCTGGAGTTCTTATCTTGTAAGGATCTCCCAAGGGCCTCTATGGAGAGTTAGCCTAGAGAAGACTCAGGGAACATGAAAAAGTCTGTTTTTGAACCTAGAAGGCAGAACTAGGAGCATAGGGTGGAGGTTGCAGAGAGAGGCAAATCTAAGTATGAAATAAGCAAAACTTCCTAACTGTTAGCTCTGTTGAAAAGTACAGTGGGCTGCTTCCAGAAGTATCAGGTTCCTCTGCCAACTTCAGGCAGAGGCCAAGTGACCACTTGTCTAGGATGTTATAAAGGGCATTCCTTTTGGATATAGATTGGACTAGTTGGCCTCTGAGGACTCTTCTAACTCTCAAATGTAGTGGTTCTATGAAACATCTTTAAATTATTCTTCATAATACGTAAGTGTAATGTAGGCCTTTGGCTCTTTCCATTTTATATATACTAATGATGATTAGTCTGATATTATTTTAAGTTCGTGGTAGAACTGAAGCTAGGATCCACCGTAAGATTCTCAGTCAATTTACCAAGTCATATTGCTTCACTGTGTATATAAAAATATATTACTTACATTTCCCAGAGAAAAATGGGCTCCAATCCAGGTTCTGCTGCTTAAGTACCTGTGAATTTGGGCAAATCACTTAACCTGTGTAGGCTTCGGTTTCCTGACTATAAAATGATATATAAATGACTTGTGATAGATGACTTCTGAGGTCACTTCTAACTGAATCTGTAATCTTGGGATTAAGTCTCTTTTAACTAATTAGTTCATATTAAATCTAAGAACTGTCACTAAGAACTGATTTTAATCTTTTTGCTCGTGGATTACAAATTTGGAGCATTTACTGGTTTCTGGGTTTTGTGCATTCGTAAGGTTTCTATTTTCTCATACATTTTTTATTCTTTTGATCAAAATTGAATGTCTTCAGCTATTTCTCCACTTGAAATTGAGTAAGAATTTTTTTTTGAGACTCTGATTTATACATTTCCAACACAGTAAGATAGAAAGTTAGGTATTTCACTTCTAAATCTGATGTAAAAGGAGAAGTTTAGAGAAGAAAGGTCATTCTTAAATTCCAGGCAAGAGTTAGTAAAAGCTCAGCACAATTCAGAGTGTTTGAGTTGAGTAGAGATTAAGTTTAGGTCATACCTTGTTAGCCATTTCACACAGACAAGCTGTTATACAGATCATGCCATGAATTCTTAAGTATTTTACTACATGATCACACACTGAAAGCTGGGAGGGACTTCATAGATCATCTAATTATACTAACTTAATTCAGTAAACATTTATTAGATGTTTACTATGTATCAAACAGTATGTTAGGCTCTTGTGGGAAAATATAAAAATACACATGATTCAGTCCTTTCCCTCAGTGAATGTACAGTCTGCTAGAGATTTGATTCAATTCAGTAAACGTTTTCAACTAAGGGAGAGGGAGAGGGTGTCAAGGAAGAAATCATGGAGGAAGTGGCACCTAAGCTAGACCGTAAATGAAAAGAATGATTTCAACAGGAAGCAGTGTTGAAGGAATGTGTTCCTGATAGGGGGTGATGGGGACCTGCTTGGAATATAGGACAGGAGGGCAAAATAAAGCTTAGGAATGTCAAAATAAGACAAGAATACGAATAGTACAAGCTGTAATATACGATAGGTGACACAGGTACTACTGTTAATACTAACTGATATTTATGTAGCTCTTTAAGGCCCACAAAGCATTGTACATCTACTATTTCATCTGAATCTTAAATTAGCCCGTGAAGTAGGTACTACATTTATAACAAATGAAGATTGTTACACAAGCTTCATTTTACAGATGAAGAAACAGGCAGACAGTTTTAAGTGATTTTGCCCCATAACTGTCAGACTTGGGGCTTGAACCCAAATCTCTTCTGGCTCCAAGTACCTTGCTTTTCCTATTCTCCCACACTGTCTCTCTACCCAAAAAAATCTTTGGCAGTATAGCAATAAAAGAGACTACTTCTGCTGGAATAATCAAGGAAGACTTCATGGAAGAGGGACAGTTGGACCTGAGCCTTGAAGGTTATGGAAGATTTCAAAAGATGTAGATTTGAGGTGAAAGACAGTGGAAATTAAAGATTTGCACAAAAAATGGTATATAACATTATAAAGTTAAAACTGCAAAGGGCACAATCTGTTATGTGGAAAGTAGTTTATATAAAACAGACATAGAGATTGAAGTGTACTCTTTGTGCAGTGTGAATCAGAAATATAACAGCAAAGTCAAAGAAGTTAGTGAAATCTTGAATTTCAGTCACAGAAATTAGCATCCAGAGTTGGGGTGGGGGAAGATACTATCTTTCTGTACTTTTTCATGGTCAGACCCCAACTGGGCACCAAATCTTAGAAAGATTTTTGACATTTTGAAACTTGGTCCAGAAGAAGTTGATGAGAATAGTGAAGGGACTTAATTCTTTTATAGCATGTTTCCATTTGAAGGAACCTAGAGATGCTTAGACATAGTATGAGAGGTTGGATTTGGAATCCGAAAGCCTGAGTTTGAATATTGTGCTATATATTACTTCTGCAACCATTAGGAAAATCATTTGACCTCTCTGGGCCTCAGTTTCCTTTTTTGTAAAATGATGAGGTCGAACTTGATGATCTCTAAGATCCCTTCAGTTTCAACATTTTATAAGTATAGTTTCATTCATATGGAAACAGTCAAGGCCCATGAACCCAAGAGCCTTGGGAATAACCTTGGAAACCAAACCACCACACCTGCCTCTAGCCCAGCCCTCACAACTATCATTTTTTAAAATATTTTGTTTTTTTCCGCAATTACATGTAAAGACAGTTTTAACATTTATGTTTTAAAATTTTGAGTTCCAAATTCTCTTCCTCCCTGTTGTTGAGAAGGTAAGCAATTTGGTATAGGTTATACATCTCACAACCATCATTGAGAGGAGAAATCATGGTAGAGAAGGGGCCCACGTTTTTTATCACCACCAGTAGCAATTGCTGACCAGCTGCTACCAACAAGCAGATAAGCACAAGAGCCCTGGGAGAGGTAGTACCCTCCACACCACTCATCCTGCTTTCAGCCTTGATCTTACATGTGGGGAGGTAGACCCTTTAGAGATGGAGCCAGCCATCCTTGCCAACTGCCACTCAGAGGGCAGGCATGCCAACCTGGCTGAAGTGCCAAGGCACCATGAGGGAAAGACAAGAAACATTGTGCACCAGGTAGATAGCACAGGACCCTGAACCCAAGAGCCTTTGGGTTTCCAGCCTAGCCCCCCACAGCCAACATCCCAGAAAACAACCACTGTAGAGATGCACCCTGAGAACTGCTCCTGCAGGTGCTATAACCTACAGCTACTGAAGACCCAGAAAGTTCTCATCACTGAAATCCTTGGTACTGTCAAATGGTTGAACATCACAAACTGATATCTTATCCATATAAATGACATTAAAGAAGAGGCCTTTCCATCTGCTTTGCCACTAAATACTAAGGACCAGAGGACCTTTCTGTCTGATTTGCAACTGAAACTTTCCATATGTGTTGGCTCTCCCATTATAGAATAGGAGCTTCTATTATCGTATTAGAATATACGACTGTCTTTTTTTTTTCTCGTTTCTGTTCTCAGACCTTAGCACAATGCTTTGTACAGATTAAATGCTTTATTTGTTCTTTACTTAGCCCAATTCATTCTAGTGGTAAGGTCAGAAGCAATGGAAGCAACAAAAATAAGTGATTCTTTTCCTATAATTTGGCTGTGAAAAAGAGGTGGGCTATGGAATAATAGCATGAGGAGATCACAGGATCAAGTGAAAGTGTTTAAGGTTGGGAGAAACCTGAATGTATTTGTAGATGCCAAATCAATGCATAAAGATAGATTGGAGAAAAGGGAGAATGGAAATTCTGTGATTTTGTGATGAAAGATAATGTTAACGGGGGGGATTTTTAGGAGGCCTTCATAATGGAAACTGTGTTAAAGTCCTACTCCAGTGGTTCATCATGGTGTAGAGGCTCATGCCATGACAAGTCCTACCCAGATGGAAAGACTTTGAATATGGACTCTGTGATCAGTATATCTGCTGTCTGTAGGCCAACCCAGCTAATTTGTGAGTGCATTTGTGGAAGGAGTACCTATGTCAAAATCACAGATTCTTTATTCATAATAGAACTGCTTTAAAATCAGGTACATTTGTAAGATCAACCTTTTAAAAAGAAAGAAAATTTTCTGAAATAGAATCGTATAAAACTAGTATTTTGTTTTTGTAAATGTCTTTAAAGAAAAATTTCTGAATTTCCAAGCTACAAGTATGAGAGCTAAGAGCTGTTTTGGACAGTCTCAGACTTTAACTCATACAGGCATGGCCTCATAGAAGCCTTCCCATCCTATTTTTGAAGACTTTCAGTAGTTTATGGAATCTTTTAATCTTTTTGGGTCTGATAAAAATCACCCTTATGGAATTTTATTCCATTATTAATATAGTTAAATTTGGTTACCATCTGCAAATAACACTGCATATACTTGAAATCTTCTGTCAGCCTTCCCTTCTCCAGGTTAAGTAATGGATTTAAATCCCTCTAACTGTCTTTAATACGTTATAGTAAGTAGCATGTATCCATGTATCCCAAATTTTCTTATTCTGAGCCATAAAAGTAGGTTTGAACACTAACCTTAGAAAACAAAACATAACTCCTTTGGTTGAGTTTGAGGATTGCTTCTTAAAAAGAGGTAAAAATGATGAGTCCTGATTCCTTGACATTCCTGAATGTATGAAATATGCTTTTCACAGATCTTCCTTCCTCCTATCTTACATTCTTTTCTCTTCCTCTCCCTTTCTCTATCTAAACTTTATGGAAATTTTACATGTTTTTGTGACTGATAAAGATTTTCAAATGAAAAAAACTGAATTTGAATTTGCTTTTATTTTAAAAGAAGCAAGCTTGCAAAGAAAAGCATGTCAATATCCAGAGTCACATCAGGAGAGTAATTTAATATAATGATTACATAATTCCTATTTTAAGAAATCAGTATTTTATGTTAAAAGATTGTACTTCATACAACCACAGTATCTGCAATGTTGAAAACTATTTCAGTGGTTTAAATTTATAGAGATTTATAGAGAGAGAAAAATCATTTTACCTTAATGTAAAAGGTTAGGAAGCAGCTAAATGTAATAACTAGATTGCCTGGCAACATCTTTTGAGCTCTCTGTGAATGACAAAATAGAGGCTAAGGGGAAACAAAAATGTCTGAAATTTAGGTGAGTTTCTGCGTTCTTCCAGTCACCTGGACTCAACTCTTCAGAAATTTTAAAGGCAGCATGGTGCAGTGGATAGGACACTGGACTTGGAATCAAAAGACCTTTTTCTAAGCCTGCCTTAGATACATGTGATTAATGAGCAAGTCACCTCAACTCCCAGAATATCAGTGTCCTGACCTGTAAATAGAGATAACCTTGACCACTCCACAGGGTTCTTTTGACAAAAGCGCTTAGGCAAACCTTGGATCACTATACAAATGAGTTATTATCTTTATTTTCTCTTGCCTTACCCCCAGCGTTCCAGTCAGTCTCCAGATCTTCCATTCTCTCTTCTTAATTTATTTCAGATCCTTTCTTTTCATTGACACTGTCATTATCCATCCTTGTTCCTTCATCTATCGACAATGGCAGTAAATTCCTCACTGGTATCTTCACTTTCTCTGTTCCAACACTTACATTGCTACTAGGTTAATTTTTCTACAGCACTGCTGGGATAGTCACTTCCCCCGTTCAACCTTTCTTTCATTCCCCACTACCTACCAGATAAAATCCAAACTCCTTAGCCTGAGAATTAAGACCCCACAGGCTCTGGTCCCTACTTGTCTTTGCTATTTTGCCAACACTTGTAGTTTAAACAGGCCCATCCACTGTCCTCCAAATATACCTTATGCCTTCTTGCATCTGAAGCTTTTTTTCCTCTGCCTAGAATCTGCTTGTCTTTTCGCTTTCTCTCTCATATCTAATCTTTCATCTCCATCTATCAAAACCTATCTCATATACCAACTCTTCCTTGGAACCTTCTCAGTCATGTCATACAAAGTGATTTCTCCCTCTTCTCTCCTTTTGTCAGCCAGTGAGGTTGACTTAAATTCCTGGGGAAATGCTAGAACCAACTATCAAAGATATGATTAGTAAACATCTAAAAAGTGATGAGGAATAAGCATGGCTTTTTCAAGAGTAGCCCATACCTGAGTAACTTTATTTCCTCTTCTGACTATCATTCTCCTAAACTCTAAGCCTCTTATAGTCAGGGACTGTTTTATTGTTATTCTTACATCCCCAGTGCCTAGCATAGTGACTAGCATGTATACCAAGCACTTACAGAGTTTACCTAAATTGAGTTTAATTAAATTAGTATTTGATAAAGTATCTCATGGAGAGATCCAGGCTGCTAATAATGCATTAAGACAAATTCAGTACTAACTGAATGACCAGATTTGAAGAGTAGTTATTTGTAGTTCCATATCATCCCTGGAGAAGGGCTTCAACAGAGTGATCTCATGATCTTTGCTTGGCCTTGTGCTATTTATCTTTCCAGTGTTTTTGTCACCGACTTGAATAAAGGTGCACAAGTGACATGTTCATTACATTTTCAGGCAACAGCAAGCTGAGAGACTTAGTAACGTACTGTATGATGACATGACTTGAAAAGATCTTGAGAGGTTAGCATTGGGCTGAATCTAATAAGATGAAATTCAGTGGGGATAAGTGGAAAGTTTTATATACTTGGATTTTTTTTTAATAATCAGTTTCATAAATAGAAGAACAGTTAGGCAGCTGTTTGAAAAGATTTAGGAATTTTAGTGTCCTCCAAGCTCAGTGTGAGTCAGCACTAGAGAGAACTTGGGATGTTTAGCCTGGAGAAGAAAAGACTTAGGTCTGGTATGATTGCTTTCCTCAAGTATTTGAAAGACTGTCTTGTGGAAAAAGGAATTAGACTTCTTCTATTTGGACCCAAAAGGAAGAGCCTCAGAGCAGAGTTCAATTTAATCTTGAAGTAAGCTAAAACTTCCTAGCCATTAGAATGACTGAAAAGTAGAATGGGATGCCTCTCAGGAACCAGTGAATTTCCTCTCACTGGAGGTTTTCAAACAAAGACTAGTTATTCTCTTCTGGTATGTCAAAATGAGGATTCCTTTTTGGATGTGGTTGGAGTAGATGGTCGCTGAGATCCCTTTGAAGCTTAAAATTTTGTGATAGCACTTTGCATTTATTTTGTGCCCTTATCACATTCTACTTTGTATTATTTGTCTACTTCCTCTGTCCCCACCAGATTGGTTAAGGATTCTTTGACGGCTTGGGACTGTCTGATTTGTTTTTGTAGTACCTTCTTGCCCATAAAAGCATAATGCATCAAATCTAGTATTCTGCCATTCACTTGGAACTTTTTTTGTAGGGTGTTTTGTTGTTTTTTGTTTGTTTGGTGCATGTACTATCCTTCACACTATGTTATAAGCTCCTGGAGGGCAGGGACCTTATCTTAAGCTTCTTTGCATTTCTCATAGCGTCTTGACCTCTGCCTTATACATAAGAAGCACTGTTCATGCGGTATATATTTGTTGAATAAATAATCAAGAGTTATAATATTCATTTATTTGTTTAAATACCACATGAAACTTTTCAACATAGAAAAAATGTAGAAAATATTTTTGTTGTTTGGGTTTGCTGAATTCTTCAAGACTTGTTCTTTAAACTAATATTTAATTTAGAATGTTATATGCTTGAGTAAAGGGGAAATACATTAGAAATTTAATAATGTGTAACAAAACAAAGTTCTGTCAGTAATAATGAAATAGCAGATCTCAACACAGTATGGTATTCAAGGCCCCAGTGAGTCCTCAGCTGCACCCTACTTTTCTGACCTTATTCCCCACTATTCCCCTATGCAGAACCTCAATTTTAGCTGGGGTAGTACTAGTTTATGGTTCCATAGATAAACCAGGTTCATTCCTAACTGCATTTTCTTTGACACTGGCTCTGTCAACCATTAGAATACCCTTTTCTTGTCTTTCTGCCTGTCTAAATCCTGACCATCCTTAATAGCCCAATGTATATTCTGCCTTCTTTTCTGGATTTTCTTCATCTGAACCAGTCCTCACTAATCTCCTCCTCTGAATACTAATTGCCTAACACTGTTTGGGATTTCTTTGTATTCTTACTTAACTCTTTCATGCATTCTCATTGTCTCTCCAAACTAGCTGGTACCTCTTAAGGGAACATATAATATCTTATGTTTGTATTTGCACTTCAACACTTAGCACAGAACTTTGTGTTTAGTAAATGCCAAATAAATAATTATTGAATGAATGAGTAAACATAGAAAGCAGCAGATATGCACAAGCATACAAACAGCAGCCCAGATGACTAGTAGTTAGCAGTACAGTTATCCCTTCCACATCACAGGGGTTTAGGAGCATGGTGCCCCTGAGATCTGGAAAATCCACGTAAGATCTTTTGGCCCTCCTTTTGTACCAGAGAAGAAATATGAGTTTTTTCTTTTCTGTTATGGAGTATTTACAGTACCTTATTGTAAAATTTGGGTTAAGTATTTGGTCATAGGTTCTGTGTCTTCTGCTGGCCTTCTTGTATCATCTGCAGCTTCCACAAAACTCGCCAAAAATTCCCATTTAGTTTCATATGCTGAACTGCAATATATCGAAACCTTGATAGGGAAAGTCACAATGTAGAAGGTAGAACTGTATTATAGAATAAAAATTCATCTATATGGACACATTTCTCAGCATTTGCTTTGAAAATAAACTAATTTGAAGTATAATGTGTTTTTTTTTAAATCATCTAGCTCTAAAAAGATACCCAAAACTATCTTACTTGATTATTGGCTAAAAATATAAATATATTTTTGATACATTTAATGCAATTCAAAAAGCATCTGTTGAGTGCAAAGAAATACTCTTATTTCCATACTTAGAGGCATTGTGGAAGAATTTTATCATTTGTCCTAATAGAGGACCAATGTACTTGAGAAAATAGCATCATCATAGTTAATCTGTGTTCATAAGGGTTTACTACCAACAAACTCAACTGTAGTGTTTATTCATTTTTTTTTAAACAAATACCAATTCATATTTTTGGCATTAAAGATCATTTCATTCACTTAGGGAAATGTTTTTCTTTTTGGAATTTTTGTTACCAGCTATTTTAGATGTTTAATTATAATTGTTTAAATATATTTCTCCTCCCAGGTTTATTTATGAAACAGAGCATCACAATGGCATAGCAGAATTACTGGAAATATTGGGAAGGTAAGTCATTGTGCTGGCAAATGCATGAGAAATTTCTGTTTTGTGCATTCTATAACATTGGACCTTTGGATGGAATTTATAACTCAATAGGGCCTCAAGTTCATCCAGTCCAATCTTTTGCCATAGTTAGGAGTTAGTCAAAATTCATCTAAAAGATAATATACAGAATTTTATTTAATATGAAATGTTAAATTTACTCTTTTCATATATCTGGACAAAGTGTCTCAGCTTGGAAACTATGGAGGTAGAATATGACATGCATTTCCAGATTCAGTTGATTTATTTTTTCCTGAACTGATTTTTTTTTCCCTTTTTTTTTTTTCCCCCTTTTCTGTCTTTGTTACACGAGAGGACTCTGGATAGAAGAGAAGAGGGAAGGATCTATTCGGAAACAAAAGTGGCATAATAAGGGATTTTTTTAAATTAAATTATTGCTATATGTGTGACCTTATCATGTGTTTTCAATATAGTTGTCTTGGAAGTCCAATGCTAAGCCTCAACTGTAATAATTTAAAAAACAATTAAACATAAATGTTAATTTTTTTTTAAAGTTACATGATTTTTATTAACCATTATCTGTCATTTAGGATATCGGGGGTAAATATTAATACTCCAATTTTCCTTTGATTTCATAAGTGTATGAGTCACTTCATAAATGTATTGAATGTAAATTATAACATTGTTAATTTTCATTATATGTTAATGAAAATATTCCCTATTTAGAGAATTCAAGAGGAAATTTTCTTGATATTCTTTTATAACATGAGTTTAAAAAACAAAAGCAGAGAAAAAAGCATTATAGTATAGTGATTAGAGAACTGTCCTTGGATTAAGGAAAAACTGGGTTCAGGCTCTGCTTCTACTCCTTACTGGATGCCTGGGCAAATCACTTATTCCCTGGAGAATCTGCTGAGAATTGATACTCAGAAGAATGTAAGCTTCTTGAGAATAGGAATTGTTTTATTCTTTATGTCCCCAGCGCCTTAGCATTTAATAAGTACTTAAGAAATACGTGTTGATTGGGGCAGCTAGGTGGCACAGTGGATAGAGCACCAGCCCTGAAGTCAGGAGGACCTGAGTTCAAATCTGCCCTCAGACCAAACACTGGACACCAGCTGTGTGACCCTGGGCAAGTCACTTAACCCCAATTGCCTCACCAAAAAAAAAAGAAAGAAAGAAATAGTGTTGATTGAATCGAATCCCGACTCCATCATTTGCTCTTAACTGTACGTAACTCATTTAACTTTTCTGTGCCTCAGATTTCTTTATCTGTGCAATAGAGAAAATAGTGCTTTCCCCATTCACCTCATATGACTACTATGAGGAAAACATTTTGTAAACCGTAAAGCAACACAAAAATATGGGTTCTTATTATCATTATCACTATTATCTCACCCAAAGGTGTCAAACTCACAGCTTGGGGCCTGCAAAACTCTTTTAAGTGTGGTCTGAACCAGATGAAAATTTAATTGGGAGATATTTAAATAAAAATCAGTACAACATGGATCAAGTGAATTTGTGCTTTTCTAAATCTCTCTGCAGCCACAAGGATCTATTTCAATTTGGTTTGACACCACCAATCTAAACCATCTTTTATAGACCAAATCAGCAAGTTCTCATGATTCTCTGCTCCTTTATCACTAAAGATGGCCAAGTGGAGCAGTGGAGAAAGCATTGGACGTGGAGTCAAAAAGACCTGACCCAGGTTCAAATCCTGCCTCACACACTTTGCTGGCTGGTGACTCTGGACAAGCCACTTCTTTCAGCTTTCGTTGCTCATCTGTAAAAAAAAAAAAAAGAGAGAGAGATAATGATAGTAGCACCTATTTGATTTTTGTGAGGATCAGATGAGAAGATATATGTAAAGTACTTTGCAAAGCTGAAATCATTATATAAGTATTTAGCTATTGATATGATGGTTGGACCCTTGAACAATAGACTACAGGAAAAAAACATTTTAGCTTCTTCTAGAATATATGAGTCTTAATATTTTATCAATCAAATTTATATGAGCTTATGTAATTCTGAAAACCAAATAAGTCTGTGTGAATATTTGCCATTTGAAACACAAACTTCATGAATCCAGTTTGCTGAATACATTAAAGACTATCAGACTATCAAGATGTTAGTTGCCTTCGTGTCTTCCTTCTACTGGATTCACATTTCTAGTTCTTCTAATGCTGGAATAATGGGCCTAAAAATTTGAAAGAAAACAATTTTAAAGCCTAAAGTTTGACAAATCACTGATGAAAATGCAAATTTTCTTTCAACAGTTGAAGAGATGCTTAATTGGACAAATCAGGGTGTTGCAGGTTTTCATGCAATAGTTGAAAGCCCCCTTGTAAAGGTATCAAGCCTTGAACTGTAACATAACAAGTTAAATGTTTTTCCCCTTAGGACATTCCACTTGAGCTTGTTTTTTATTTTGAAGCTGTACTAATTTATCACTATCTACTATCAATTATATTAATTGTAATTTCTATGAAACGATCAAGGTTCCAATGCCATGCTTCCCTAAGACTTTTCTAAAATTAAAATTTCCTGTGTTTTTCCTTTCTTTTTTGAAAGAGACCTGACTTGCCTACAGGATTTATAATTACAGATCTGAAATTTGTGAATATGTTAAAATTTTGAACCCAAATCTTTTTTTTCCAGCATAATTAATGGATTTGCCTTACCATTAAAAGAAGAGCACAAGATTTTCTTATTGAAGGTGTTATTACCTTTGCACAAAGTGAAATCACTGAGTGTCTACCATCCTCAGGTACAATGGAGTCATTAGGTATTTTATGTAGATGAGTCCAATTGTTACCTAGTGTGTTTCATTTACACAGTATGCTAAACTTAAGACCTTGCATCTTTTATACGGAATATTACTTTATTGAATTAAATTTGATGATTTAGGTAACAGGTGCAAGTTACCTCTTACACAGTTATTTAGGGGGCAGCTAAGTGGCACAGTGGAGAGCACCAACCCTGGAGTCAGGAGGACCTGAGTTCAAATCCAGCCTCAGACACATAATATTTCCTAGCTGTGTGACTCTAGGAAAGTCACTTAACCCCAATTGCCTCACCAAAAAAAAAAAAAACCACCCAGTTATTTAAAGGATTAGAAATAAAATTACTTTCCTTCATATTTGAAAGGCCAAAAATGGAAGCACTAAGATTAGAAAGTCTCTGAAATATAGAGTTGAAGTATAGTTATATTTAATCATTTTAAGCAATGCAATTCACAAAATCTGAGGAATCAAAGTTGGAAGGGATCTGAAAGGTCATCTAATCATCCATCCTCCTATTTAAGGAGGGAATATGTGCTACAACATTCCCGGCCACTGATTACCCAGCTTCTGCTTGAATACTCCTAAGCAAGGCAACCCTTTCCATTTACTTGAGTTCAACCAAGGTCTACTCCCATGAAACTTAAATTTGTTTGTAATTCTGTTCTCTGAAGCTAAAGAAAGTAAACTTAAGCCCTCTTCCACATGATTTTCCTTCAGATATTTTAAGACAAATCTCATTGCTGCCCCACACTCTTATACACACACACACACACACACACACCTCTTTTCTAGGCTAAAAATCCTCATAGTCCTTCAACTATACTTTATCTAATGTTGTTTACCTCACCTTGTTCATGAGCTGTAGCTTCTTGATATCCTTCTTGTTAAATTATAATAAAAACTGAACACCACACTTATCAATGCCATCTGACCAGCTTGTGGCTTGTAGGGCTCTAGCTGTCCCTCACAGATTTGTGTCATACGGTTTTGATCAATATGCATGTCATCCACATGTTCATCCCAGTCACTGATAAAAATGTTGAACAAGACTATGCCTTATTTATCTATGTATTTTCCCTAATACCTGTCACAGCCCCTTATATATATTCTTAGCTTGGGCTTGGTTGGCTGTATTGAGTTGAAGTTGACAAGGACCCTAAAGACTTTTAGCTCTGCATGTTAATATCAGTCAACCTGAAAGCTTCGTCTTACCAAAACTTTCCATTTTGCTTTTGTGTATGGACAACAGATGTCCACACTTAGAACCAGGTTTGAATTTTTATTCTTTTCAACTTTTATTGAATTTACTGAATCCTAGTAAATGTTATACTTAGATTCACCCAGGTGTTTTGTAGTTGTTATATTTTAATTGGTTTGTAGGTAATAGGGAAGTTTGGAAGATGGGAGAGTTTGGGGGAAAGATAATTTGCTCAGTTTTGGGAATGTTGCATTTGCAATCTCTCCTGGAGCTCAGCAGAGAGATTCAAGCTGCACAGACCCATCTAGGGTCATTCACACCCATAGAAGCCGATGGGATCACCAGGCCAGATGGTATCGGGGAGACAAGACAAGGGCCCAAGACAGATATTCAAGGGGAAAGTGTAAAACATTAAACATTGGTTTATATATGGATCCAGGCCTGCTTCTCTGAATCATGACGTGTGGTAGATCAGCAGGTAGAAAACAGAATTTGGAAGGGCTTGAAGAACCTACTCTTCAGCACCTGTCACATTGCTTCCTGATAACTTTCAAAAGTTAGCATCTGTTTTTCCTAATACAAACTGGAAACATTAGGTGCATGTAACTTATTGCAGGAAGTTAATTCAGATTTAATTTGTTTACTTTGGCTTCTTGGGAGATAATATTTATTAGGATATTATAGAAAAATACATCAGTCTCCATGAAAGTCTCATTTCACTGCCTCATTGTTGAGCAAAGGTGACCTTGAGTTCTTGGAACCTTGTCCAGCAGAGTGGAAACTTGGACAGGTCCTAACAAGTTAGAAAGGCTTTGAGTATGGGCTCAGTGATGTCTGTTGTCTGAGAAACAGTATAATTAAACTCAGGCTCATTGCCAGGTTGGGCACTTAAGTGGTGAATTTTTTTGGCTACAACAACTCATGGACATTATTAAGACATAGAAGGCTTTCAGTCTGTGTTGAGTCCTTTCTGTCTGAAGGACCTACACTGATGAAACTTGGGCTTGGATCATTGAAGTATTATAGATAAGCCTAACCAGAGACATACCCGATTGATGACTTTGGTAGTAGGTGGTAACATTCATCAAACAGTTGGGATGAAGGATTTTCAAACAAAAATTAAATTTTGGTGTTTGTCAGCCACTTAGTTATTAGTTTTGATTTGGTTATCCCAGTAGACATTCAGTTAAAAGAAATATTAAGTACCTACTGTATTCCAAGAACCATGTGATAAAATAATACAAATGCTTATCCTCAAGGAGCTTGCAAATTTGTGAAGGGATAAGATACACTCATGAATAACTATATTACAAGTTAGGAAATGATTGAATGCATAGGAAGGGTCATACAGGAATTCAGTGAGAGAGGGAATCACATCTAACTGAGAGAACTAGGGTTCATTCTGGGAGGTAGCGCATGATCTGAACTTTGAAGGGAAGAGGAAAACTATCAATAAGCAGAACTATAGAGATGAGTGAGGATGAATTACACAAAGGCACAGGCAAGAGAGGAAAAGGTGAAATTATTAACAGTGACTATTAAACTTTGACTGGAGGATCAAGTACAGAGGAGTAATTTCAAGTAAGGGTAGAAAAGGAGGTTGAAGCCAGATTGTGGAAGGCCTTGAATCCCAGGATAGAGAATTTAAACTTTATTTAAGAGGCAGTAAGGAGCCACTGGCAGTTGTTGAGCAGAAAAGTATTGTGATCAGTAACATATTAGGAATATTATTCAGGCATTATTGGAAAGAAGGAATTGAAGAAGGCAAGCTATTGAAGTTAGCTCCAGGTCAGAGGTTATCCAAATGAGAGATGATAAAGGGTATGGAAAGGGACTTGATTAGAAACATTGAAATGCTAGAATGGACAGGAAGCATAGATGGAAGGTGCCTTAGAAATCATCTAGTCCATGGGTTCTACACCTTTTTTGTGCCAGATACCTCTTTGGCCGTCTGGCAAAGCCCATCAGCCTCTTTCAGAATCATGTAGGAGGGGGTTATCTAGGTGGCGCAGTGAATAGAGCACTGGCCCTGGATTCAGGAGGACCTGAGTTCAAATCTGGCCTCAGACACATAACACTAGCTGTGTGACCCTGGACAAGTCACTTAACCCCAGTGCCTCTTGGAAAAATAAATAAATAAATAAAATTGTTTTTAAAATTTTTTTAAAAAATCATGTAGAAGGATTACAAAGGAAACTAATTATATTGAAAGACAGTTTTGGGGGCAGATAGGTGGCGCAGTGGATAGAGCACTGGCCCTGGATTCAGGAGGACCTGAGTTCAAATCCGGCCTCAGACACATAACACTTAACTAGCTGTGTGACCCTGGACAAGTCACTTAACCCCACTGCCTAGCCAAAAAAAAAAAAAAGACAGTTTTCAAAATTTTTAAAACAAATCCCTGGATCCCAAGTTAAGAACCCCTGCTCTAGTCCAAGCCCCTTATTTTGTAGATGAGGAAGCCCCCAGCTGAACTGACTTCCTAAAGGTCACAGAGCTAGTATATAATAGAATCAAGATGCAAACTTAGGTCTTCTAACACTCATTCTATTGTTATTTCTATTACAGTACTCCAACTGGTGGTCTTAGTAGTGGGTTGATGAGAGAGAGGAAAGAGTCAGAGATTTTTCAGCCTGGGTTTTGAGAAGATGATGATATCAGCAACAGAAATAAATAAGTTGGGCCAGAAGCCTTGGAGTGACAAGGAAAAAATAGGGGTTTTGAAGGAGGATAGATAATAGGTTAAGTTCGAGATGCAGTAGAAATATCTAGCAGGGTGTTGGAGATGTAGAACTGGAATTCCCATGGAGAAGTTGGATTTAGAGATAAAGATTGATGTCTTTTGGATCTCACTTTAATTTGAAAGAATTCAGAACCTTTAAGCCTGGTTTTTGTCACTACCTATATTGACTAGAGTAAAACAGTATTCCTCATTTTGCCTTATATATTGTGTGAACATATATGTGAGACTCATTTCAGGTTTCTCAAAATCAGCAAATAGTATGTAATATAACTAGAAGCATCAGCATAATATCCTTCTATTACACAAGGAGAAAATGAATCACAGAGGCTACATGGCTGGCCTAAGATCTCACCCATCAGTGGGTAGAAAACCCTAGGACTAGACCCTGGGGACTCCTTTGTCGAGTACTTATCCCTCAAACATGTTATAGCCTCTGCTGTTTGTTGTTTTGTTTTTGTTTTTGTTTTTTTAATATTTTGGGTATCTGTTTAAGGAATCAGGTGAAATGCATGCAAAAGCTTTTCAAATAGAATGAACTCTTAATTGTCTTTATTCCAGATTGCTAGTATTGACTCCTTTTCATGTTTTACAATGACTTTTTTCACCTGGAATTAGTAAATAACCACAGGGAAGAAGAAAGAAGGAGAGAGACATACATTACCACTATGAGGAGTTGGGGTTTTTTGGTTTGTTTTTTTAATCAGCATTCCAGAATTTCCCCTTGCCCTTCTCACAGTTGCCAATATGACAGTACACATTCAGCTGTCCTTGTTGACATTTCTATTTGGTCCTTATCTAGTTTCGGTTTTAGTTTGGTTTAATTTTTTCTGTCCTTTAGTCTGGAAGATCACTGGCTATTGTTCCCTGACCATTTTACCCCTGTTATACAGACAACAACTTGAATTTAATCTTCGTGTTGTTGTTCATAAATACATTTTTCTACTAATGCTTTAAAATGGAAGCACAATTCAGTTTTGTCAGGGTAATACAGAAATGTTAGGTTTCAGGAAACAAAACCCCAATTGTTTTCTCTCCATCCAAAAAAGTTATGATTACAGTAACCTAGAGGAATGAACATTATAAAATTATTTTTGTACTTATCGCCATTTCTAGATTGTGAGCTCCTTTAAGGAGTGGGATGGCATTCAACTCCTCATAGTGGTAATAAATGTCTCCCTCCCTCTTTCTTCTCCCCTGTGGTTATTTACTAATTCCAAGTTTAAAATAAAAAAGTGATTGTAAAACATGAAAGGAGTCAATACTAGCAATCTGGAATATTTTATTTCATTTTTATTTCTTCACAGGGACTTATACTCTCAGTAAACATTTGTTGAATGAATAATACTGGGAAATATTAGGAACAGCTACTTTGAAGTATATATTTACAATTTGGGCTTCTGGTGGGTTCCTCAGTTGGAAACAACTTTCTAAATAGTAAAAGTTAGAAAATAATACCAGAAAGTAATAAAGGTGATATTGTCATCAAAGAGTGAAATATTAATATATCTTTTCTCTCTTAAACTATTTAGCTGGCATACTGTGTAGTTCAATTTTTAGAAAAGGACAGCACACTTACTGAACCAGTAAGTATATTATTTTATTTTGGTCAAATTCATAATTGTACTGTGAAAAATGTATATATTTTGCTAAATGTAAACATAATACTGTTTTGTTAGCAAAATGTAGAAGTATGATCGATCACATGAGATAAATAAGCTTTATCCATTCATTTATTTCTATCTAGGCTATAAAATTAAGCCGGTTATGAATCCAGCCATAGGTTATATAAGTTTTAAAAGACAAGTCATTGACTAAGATAATTGTTCTGTAGCAATAAGACTTGTTGTGACAAAAACTATTTTCTCCTGTCTTAAATCTTACCTAGTCCTTTTCTTCTTTTGAGCTCAAAGTATTTTAATGCGTGCCTTCATTAAAACATGTACATTTTAATTCCACCATTGAGCACTTTGATGTTTTACTTTACTTACTACATATCAACTGACCAGTTAGAGTAAATATAGTATAAAAATTAAGTGTCTGAAATCCTTATTATAACCAAATAGACTTTTAGTCCTGGAGGCACTTAACCTTTTTTTTGTGTCCTGGACCCCTTTGGCAATTTGGTGAAGTCTGCGTGCCAGTTCTTAGAATAATATACAATTTTTTTTCCCTTCCAAGTTAACAAGCAATCTCCTACCCCCTGAAATCGATATCTACACACCTGGGAAGTAGGGGAAGTAAGAGTCCTTCTTTAGTCAGTTCTGTGATTACTATTTTACAGTCACAACTGTTAGCAGTTGTTAGTTGAATTGCCTGCTTTCTTGTACTTTGTAATTTTAATTTCAGGTTATGGTTTTAAATTGAGGAGTTGTATGTTTAGATACCAGTGGAAAAGGTGTGATTTTTAAAAAAAAAAAAAAAACCATAGCTGACAAAATAAAATAAATAGGATTGATATTTTCTTTCCTAATAGCTGTACCACTTCACTGCTTAATGCCAATTTTAATGTAGGAGAAAATGTCAAAAATCCATGACACTTAGATATTTGTCAGGTCTACTAAGGGGAGTTCAAACACTGACTTCCCCTCAGGTAACTTGATTTACATCCTGTGCCACCCATCAGACTTTTCATTTTCATGCTTAGATCTATTCCCCTCAAATTTCTCACGTATAAGAAAAAGCTCTTGGTCATCATTCATTAGATATCAACAAGCAATAACAGAAAATTCTGCAGAGGTGATGTGCTCAGAAACCAGGTGAAGGAGAGCACTGTCTGACTTAATCCCTGCTTCCATCCATTTTAAGGAGTGACATTTACTCTGCATTCTCCACCGTAGGATTCCCAGGAACTATCTACCATATTTGTGTCTGAGACTTTGGAAGCCCCAAAGGAATTGTACCAAATCTTATCAGACTTCAATATCAAGCACAGTTGAGGTACTGAATGCCATGTAGAGGATACTTTATTTTTATCCTCCTTAACTAAACTGAAGACTTGTTTTGGTGGTGGAAATGCAGCTGCATAATTGATATGGAAGCACTTTTTAAAAGCAATTTTTTACATGTGGCATGACCCGACTCCTATATTTGTAAGGTATTCTCCAGATCAAACACTCAGAGAGTCTTATTGTCATATTGTCATATTCTTTTTCTGTCCCAGTAATTAAACAAAAACTATGAATATTGAAGATAGTTCTGTTAGTTGTCAAGACTGTACTGACATGTACTGGTCATATGCCCCAAAATGACATTTGAAGGTTTTTTTTTAAATTTACTGTTAATGTTGTTGTTATTGAGAGACAGCATGGTGTAATGGATGAGTTAGTCTACCCCCACTTCTGACACATTCTGGCCATGTGACTCTGGGGGAGCTAGTCACTTACCTCTCTGTGCCCCAGGCAGCAAAGAAGCTGCCAGTTTTCATGGGGGAAGGACATTCCTCACCACCAACTCTCTTCACAAATGGAATCATAGGTCTGATCCAAAACTATTTTTGTCATAAAGCCAAAACAAAAACTACATTTCTTTATTGGAATACTTTTGTTTAATATAGTTTAATATAGAAAAGTACAGTGGATTCTGTTATTCTGATCTTACTGGTATATCTGGACAGCCTCCTAGGATCTTTAGCTTCTTTTCAAATTGCTTGTTTTAGTGATAATAATATTAAAATATAGCCAGTTCTGTTATGTAGGCATTCTGTTAAATAAACATTGACAAAAGTACAATAAATTATATTTATTGGTTATTGTTATATAATATATTTTAATATAATAATATCATGTATTTTAATAAATATATGTAAAGTTATTCTTACTGGTAAGTTATATTGAGATAGTTATTCCCTAAAGTGAAATGTTTATCCCTACTACTGCTGCTTCCTTTTTTTAATGTTCAGTTTAAAACATTGAGATTTTAAAACATCTAGCATCGAGCATTACATTGTTACTTAATTCTGTTATAAAATGTTTATGAAGCCTTAAAAGATTTCTGGGCCCATATACAAAATTTTCTTTTTAAAAAAGGCAACACTTTTAAGTATTTAACCTCTCTTAAAATAGGTCCTACAAAAGTGAAATATGCAGTTCTCACCCATTTGTCTTTGAGTAAACTTGGCCAACCTACAAGTCTTGAACCAAGTCCCAAAGTAAAAAAATATCCTCTCCCCATCTCACTGCAATGCCAAGTCAAGGGGGAAATTCCATAGCCAGGGGAACCACAAGTTTCAAAACCCCCTGACCTCAGTTCTCTGAAATTCAAGACTCAGGACCATTAGTAATCTTGTCCAAGCTTGGCAGTCAAAGGGTTCCTAGTAAGAGGTTATCTCCAAGGAAATGAGCTTAGAAATCTAGTCCTTATAGAAAAGTTCAGTTTCTTGAATTGCACTCAAAAGTAAGTAGCCATTGTTGATCAGGATTAGCATTCCCTGAGCAGCTCACTTTCTTCAACAACAAAAAATACTGTTGCATTCTGAACTCACAGAAATAGCTGAGTATTGTCTAATGCAGGAATCTGAGTTGTCCAGGTTCTGACTCCTTCAAATCAATCCTATGATAGCTCCATAAGCTATAATCAGAAGATAGGACCTTTTTAAGAGAGTTAATATCAGAACCAGTGTCTGTTTTATGGCTCACAGACTGGGTTTTTTTTTTTCTGTTTCAAATAATAGAATTCCTTTATACAAGTGAACAAGGAAAGTAGTAGATGTATAAAGTGATTTTTAGGGAGAGAGCATGACATCACAGAAAGGCATCTAGACTCAGAATCAGAAGACCTGAGTTTGATAGCTGACTTCCAATACTCACTAGTGTTGTGTGTACCTTATCACAGCACTTAACTCTAAGCCTCCATTTCCTTATGTAGAATGGAGATGATAATACTTATAAAACATAAAGAGCTATGGAAACTTCAGTTTTTTATGTTATTATCATTGTTATCTGAGTTCTTTCCAAATTGTAAATTTGAGGTGGGAAGTAGGGAGACATCTTATATTGGATTATATGAATACCTTCTTTGAAAGAAAACTCTGTTACAAATATCCAAAATTTCACAACTGGGATTACCTGTGAACAAGTAGTTGCTTTGTGTAAGAAAAGTTGTTGAAGGTACAGAAATTTTTCAAAACTAAGTCCAGACACTCATTATTCTGAATAATGGAATAGAGATTTGGGAATGATAGAAAGGTCACAAAGGACTTGCCTTCATGTGTCACTAAAAATTCTGTACCTGGTCCAATCCACAAATAAACCAGTGTATTACATCAGCCATATCAATGTATTTTTAGTTGCCCTAGATCTCTTTATTCCTTGTTGCTCCTGTGACCACTCATTTTATTTTCTTTTCAAAATTTATTCAAGAAACCAATCTTAATACAATTTAACTAGAAAGGGTTGGTTACATAAACTTAAAACCTGGATTTATATCAGATGTAAAGTAACATTCCTCAATTTTAAGAGACTGGATGCTATTATTACACTTTATTATCGCTCTTTCTATGAGTAAACAAAACCTTTGTGTTAATTTGTTAGTACAAACCAGGAATGTGCATGATGAATTAATAAGACCGTGTAGATCAAGAATCGAAGGACCTAATGTGATTTTTCTTTTTCTAGGTGGTAATGGCACTTCTCAAATACTGGCCAAAGACTCACAGTCCAAAAGAAGTCATGTTCTTAAATGAATTAGAGGAGATTCTAGATGTTATTGAGCCATCTGAATTTGTAAAGGTCATGGAACCTCTTTTCAGACAACTAGCCAAATGTGTTTCCAGCCCACATTTCCAGGTGTGTATTGTTTAGAAAAATAGAATAAATAATTAACTTTATAAGGTTGTTTTTTTTGTTTTTTTGTTTTTTAATTTTGAAAGCTGTACCTTTTTAAATGGTGCACCAAACTTTGCTACAGTGCCAAAGTTGTTCAGAGTAAAATAAAAGTCAACAAATATTGACATTGTCATCCTTTGTGTCACCATTTCAAACTCATTGTCCTTTATTTTTTATTAAAGTAGACGTAATAGAATATTGCTAACTTCTAAAACTCTAAAACCAGTGCTAGTTGTCATCTTCATGTAAAGCCTACTTCCAGAGCACATAGCATAATATTTTAAACCAAGTGGTTGCAATGGATTGACTCTGTTCTCTAAAATACACTTCTCTTTTCCAGTGAGTCTTCTCACGTCATCCCTTCCCTCTCTAACATCTTCAGTCTCTTCATTTCTACAGGTTCCTTCTCTTCTGCTTTTATTTATTTATTTGTTTGTTTGTTTGTTTGTCTGTTTATTTGTTTATTTATTTTGGTGAGGCAATTGGGGTTAAGTGACTTGCCCAGAGTCACACAGCTAGTGAGTGTTATGTGTCTGAGGCTGGATTTGAACTCAGGTCCTCCTGACTCCAGAGCCGGTACTCTATCCACTGCGCCACCTAGCTGCCCCCCTCTTTCTGCTTTTAGACATACATAGGTTTTTCTGCCCTCTAAAAAAGTTTCCCATTGACCTTGCCTCCATTCCCTATTCTTCCATTCCATTCCTTTCATTACCATATTCCAATAACATGTGGTTTATTTCTGTGCCTTTATGTTTATGTCTTCCCCATCCCTTCTTTGACTGCTGCATTTTGACTTTGACCCCTACCACTCCACTGAAAATTTTCTCAAAGATCAGTAACAATGAAAGAGTGAGATGCATCCGGAAAGACCCAGGTGTGGCTTCAAGAGACCTACATTCAATCCTTACCTTCTGTTTACTACCGTGGCAAGTCACTAAATCTGCCTAAGGATCAATTTCCTATTCGTAAAATGAGGGAATTCTAATAGATGATTTCCAAGACCCATTCCAGGTAGAAAAGGGCCAGGTTGTGATGGGCTTTAAATGCAAAACAAAGGACTTTATATTGATCCTGGAGATAATAGGGAGCTGCAAGAGTTTGAGGAAAGGGGGTGACATGGAGAGACCTGAACCTTTGGCACCTGACCAGAAAATGGATTGGAGGTGTAAGGCAGGGAGACCATTTAGGACACTATTGTAGTAGTCCCAGAGAGTAGTGATGGAGGCTTAAACTAGGCGCTGTGAGTGAGGAATACATGAAGAATACAAGAATACATGAGGCAGAAATCATAAGATTTGACAATAGATTAACTGTATAGGGTGGAGTGAGACATTAAGGATGACTCAAGAAAGGGATCCCAGCAGACTTAGAAAAACACAAAATAATATCATCTATATTATGTTGTATTTATATTTATTACATTTTAATCTGATTCAGGTTGCAGTCACCATGGGGGTGGGGGGAAGGACAACAAGTTTGACACCTCTAAGAGTATAATAGTTTGAAATGTCTAAAAGGTGAGGGCAGCCAGGTAACACAGTGATTAGAGCCCCTGCCGTGGAGTCAGGAGGACCTGAGTTCAACAGTAAGTGCCCTAAGAGGAGTACAAAGATAAAGCTATATAAGTTCCATGGAAGGAGAGCTCGGTTTCTGCTGGGGTTATCAGAGAACATTTTATAGATGTAGCATTTTAGCTGGTCCTATAAAGTTGGTCTTCCAAGAGGAAGAGATAGAGAAGTTGTGTGGGGAGGGAGAAATGGAAAGGTGCATAGCAAACACCAAGGCTGGAACATGCATACTATGTTTAAGGAGTAGTAAGTAGTCTAGTTTGACTGGAGTCTGTGATGTACATGTAGTGGATAAAGAAGATTGGACCAAATTATGGAAGGCTTTAAATAACAGGCTAAGGAATATGGATATTATTCAATGAACCAGTGGGGAGCTATTGAAGGTTTTTAAGTAGGGAAGGGAAACTACCAAAATGGTGTTGTAAGGTAATTAATCTGGCATTGGTTTATCAGATAGATTTGGGTAGCTAAGAAGGAAACTCTTAGATGTGGAAACCAGTTATGGTGAAAGATGATAGAAGCCTAAAATGGGTGGTCACAGGCATGTTGATGCAAAGGAAAGTATGCTTCATTTGGAGTCAGATGACCTGGGTTTAAATCCTACCTTTGTTACTTTTACTACCTTTATGACCTTGGGAGGGTCACTTAACTTCTCTGAGTCTCATTTTCCAAATCTGTAAAATGAAGACTAAATGGCTTTTGAGGTCTTTTCCAGATCTAAGTCTGTAATATTATAATAATGATACTATGTAAAATGGATTATAGATTAAGAACAGTCACTATGTAGTACCTACTCCTGTCCATGACCTCCAAAATTCCTCCAGCAAGTCTGCCCAAATTTTATAGGTCTTCCTCTTGGCTTTTTTAGATACGATATCTGATAAAACACTTGAGCTGTCCGTCTTTTGTCTTTCAGTATAACCACATGACCAACCAATCTCATTTTCTGATCATACATGTCCTAGGTAATATATTTTATGCCTTCTTTTGTGTGTATAAGTTACCATTGGTAATATGCTGCCACCTGTTTAATAACCATGGCACTATAGTCTTTCCATTACCGTTTGGTTCAGGCACAGTTTTGTTTCTTCATGGTTTGTGGTATTCCATTATTCATAGTCTTATAGCATCACTTACAGCTTGTTATGTGAAAAGTAGGTTTTTGGTTGAAGGAGTAGCTTGGAATTGTCAAAAGCACTGTGCAATTTCCAAAATGGTCCATTCGTAGTCTGTCTAAGATGAATGTACAAATAGATAAAATGGTCTGTCTATCCATCCACCTGCAAATCCTAGTCTGGAAAATAGTCATTCCTTATCTATTTGGTTTTTCTTGTGTGAATTGATTGGCCAAACTCTTCAGTGACCCTAAATCTATAGAATCAGTCCCTGAATACTTTCAAAATTCTATCACCTTGAGGATGAATTTCCTCTAATGTGTATTTGACATGAACTAGCTGTTCTTCCTGGGTTATTCTTGAGTACCATTTCTATTTCCTCATTCAGCCCACCACAGGCTGAGTAAAATCCAGATATGGTGGTTCCACTTTCAAAATGCTGACAGATCGGTACCATTTTCTTCATTATTGTCCACCTAGTTTCATCATGAGGGCAAGGATCCTTTCACTTTTATCTTCGTATTCCCCAGCATCTACCACAATATCTTATACATAGTAGCTACTTAATAATAATTGGTTACTAAATTGTTTAATTTCTCTGAAAAGGTTTGTTCTTTCTGACCTGGGAGGTTGAGAGTAACTAAACTTAATATAACCAAGTTGCCTAACAAATTATCTTGTTTTATACAAAGCATGAAGCATTTTGTTTTAGTGTATATCAGCATTTCTAACCCTGTTATTTTTCAGTATACTTCATAGCCTGATCTAGTTGTAAAATTTTAATGAAAAGTGCTTGATAAAGCTTGGTAAAGAATTTGCTTATATACCAGACATTGGTAATCTATTCTGAAGTAAGTTAGTTCACTTACTTTAGTATTGTGTGTAGAATTAACTCTCATTGGAGACCATCCCATATAGAATCATAAAATTTTAGAGCCAAAAGGGATTTAGAAGACATTTAATCCAACTCTCTCATTTTAAAGATAAGAAACTTGAGCCCAGAGACGTGTGATAACTTAACCAGCTAAATTCTGGTACTGTAGGCAACAGGGCCAGGCATAAGGTCAAAGTTTCTTAATGTCTTATGCAACATTCTTTCTCTTTTACTATTTCTACTTAATTTTCCCATTTAAGAAAAGAAAATAGTTTTTAAACCAGCTGGCATGAGCATAGAGCAAGAGAATACTGCTGTCTAGAAGTTTATTCACAAAATCTCTATTTAGACATAAATAGAGGACATTAAAGTCATATGAAAATCTAGTCATTAAAAACATTTTCCCTGAAAAGTTTGAGCCTCAACTTCAGGTCCGAAATTAGCTAATATAATAAATTCAAAAACAAGTAGATTGGCACATAAATCCCACATTGTGCCTTAAGTCTTTGTGTATCATCATTTTGAATAGGGTGTAAGCTTATGATAGGAAGCAGAGGAGAAGAGAAGCCACAGAAGAGACTAAAGCAAGATTACAGGTGTGGTATGGTTAGAACACATACCAGAGTATTTACCAAATGTGTGATTTGAGAATAGTTATAGTATGAGACCAGTATTTAAAATATATATTCAGTAATTGAGTTTTCAAAGTTTGGGATTTAGGGTTTTTTTGTTTTGTTTTTGGTTATCAAAAAATTCACTGTAGTTTAAACTTTAATGAATCTGTGGTCTCATCTATGTAAGTATTTCTTCTACCCATACAGATTATGTGCATATATTTCCATCCTTTATAGCTCTTGTCCATGTCTTTCTGTAGTTCCTGAACAGGAACAGTCATCCATGGCACTAAGGATCATCTTGATTTCTTGGCAGTTTATAGATAGATACCAATGGAGCCACCAGGGTGTCCATCGGTGATCTGTCCTTTGCTCTTGTTAAATGCTTAGATCATCTCCTTTCTTTGGTCATACATCTCCTGATGATATCCTTTATGGTAATTGGAAAATATAGTTCTTCAGTGATATTGAATTGCAGCCTATTCATACCTGTCATATACCTCTCCATTGCATTTTGTGTGACCTGCAACTTTTAATTCTTTAGACACTGATATTCTACTAGTTACAGCTATGCGGGATCACCAGACAATTAATAATATTAAAAAGATAAGACTGTTTCAGGGAAACTCTTAGGATCAATAAAATCACTTTGCAGTTTCCCAAATGCAAACAAGGCAGATTTCTTCAAAACAGATCCTGTTCTGTTTTGGACGCACCTCATTGTCCACACACACAGTCATTGGATCGGCAATTTGAGGTGTCCATCCAACTTTATGCCATGGTCTGGAGGCCGTGGCTTTACCCCCATGGAGAGTGCGATTAGCCAGTCTGAAGAGGGGAAGATGAATCACATACCAGCCGCTGAAAGAACTCATCAGTGGGCTTGTCTCCAGCACAGCCACACTCACCTTTCCTCCGTTACAGCCCCACATTCCCTTACTTCATTCCCTTTTTCAGCTATACAAGCTCTCAGCCTTCCCCTTTCCCTAGTTAGGCATCTGTTTCTTAGTGTAGTTATGACCTAACCCCAAACACAGCAAAAGCACAAGTGCCACTCAGATAGTGTAACACACATACACAGAGAGACATTCTCACCAGGGGAAAAAAAATTACCTTTAATAGGCTTGTACCAGCAAAAAAAGAGTTTAGAGACGACTGATCTAAACAGTAGGTGTTCTTTATCCAATTAGTTTTTCCTGTATGGATAGCTGGACCAAATATTTTTGCGTGGTTATGAACCTCAGGAGGCCCTGAAGTATTCTGAGACTTAGTGCAATCAGTATAAAATCATGGGAGACCAAAAGCATGTGGAGCACTTCAGCAGCTATAGGTGACCACTCTTCAGTTTCGACTGTGTGCCAGACTTCATGACAGTAGCAAATGCCTTTGGACTCCTATGTCTCCTTGCTTTAAAAGTCTCACTTGACATCATCAGAGGCTGAATCAGATGCTTCCCCCCCAAAGGACACAAACAATAAATAGAATAAGATCTTGAACTCTCTACATCTTTTAGTCAGTTGGGTTACTGTGCCGATGGGATCTGCTCTTTTCCAAAAGCCCGCCTGTTTACCCTTCTTATACCTTCATCAAGGATGCTTCCAATGAGTATCTAGACTGTTCTCATAAAAATGCTGTAGAAATGGTAAAGTAAGAATATGGGCCAATTTGTTGTTTCAGTCATGTCTGACTCTTCATGGCCCCATTTGGGGTTTTCTTGGCAAGGATACTGGAGTGGTTTGCCATTTCCTTCTCCAGCTCATTTTACTGAGGAAACTGATACAAACAGGGTTAACTTGCCCGGGGTCACACAGGCAGTAAGTGTCTGAGGACAGTGATATGAGATGAGGAGGGGAGAAGAGGGAGTTCCGTAAGGGCATCAGTTTTTTTCAATCAAATATGTAGCCAGGTTCTTAGCTGAGAGGGTAAGGGGAGAGAAGCCACGGGAGAAGTGAGAAGGGATGAGGTTTGGAAGCAGTTTTGTCCTTAAAGGCCTTGTGATAATGTGAGCTAAGTGGATGTCTTGCCAAGCTTTCTATAAATTCGCGTTTTTTTCCTCCACTGCTTCACTTTGTTTTATGTCAGTACCATTCATAACGTTTAACTATCCTCTGTAAGTTTCTTAAATCTTTTTATTAATATCTTTATTTTGACATGACCTTCATTACCTAGCATATCCCTCTCTCCTGCAAACCAGAGAGCCATCTTTTATAGGCTAAGAAAAATAAGCAGGTCACCAAACATATGGTCACAATAACTTATGCAGATGCATACAGCCACCTCCATAAGGTGTTTTTTTTTTTAAAGCAGAGACTTTTTATTCTTTTTTCAATTTCAAATTCTGTCCCTCTTCCTGCCCCTTCACCAACCCAAGAAGGCAAGAAAAACAAAATGTATTACAAATATGTATAGTCATGCAAAACCAATTTCTGCATTAGCCATGTACCCTCCATAAGTTACAAAGCAAGCTTATATTTTAAACCAGTGTTGCAAACTAATATCTGTCTGTATGACAAGAATATCAGGTGTTTGCTGAGGCAGCTTTTGGGCTTTGTTTCTTTGTGATGATTCATTTACAGCAATTAAACTTTGATAGGATATGGTAATGATCTGTGTTAGTATCTGTTCTTTATCCATTTCCCACTTTTTTGTATCAGATTGGAAGTACAAACATATACCATGTCTTCTCATTTTTCTTCTAGTTTGGTGTTGGTTTTTCTATTTGCTGTAAGAAATCAGTCTTACATGTACACAAACAGCTGATGTAGAAATAACTCCCACATAGTGACCAGCCATTTCTTTTGTCTGTTAGAATTTTTTTGGTGATGTTATTTGGTATTCTTCATATCCAGTGCCTCCCAACTCTGTTCTTGAAAGAAGTATTCATGGTGTACAGGCATGACTTTTCAGGGCAATCTACAAACCTCTGGCATCTCTTGCTTTTTACTTCCAAACTGTGAGCTAATTACATTTTTTACATTCTCTCCTATTCCCATTTTTCCTTTGAGATCACTGAACATTAAATATATATTGATTTAATTCAGAGAATTTTAATGAGTTCTTCATAAAATTTCTCTTCCTCAACCTTTTCAATAAATAATGTGACATCTTCATGATAGTATTTCTGCAAATGTTTGCCATGAGTACTGGCCGTGTGAGATGGCCAGGTATCTGTAAAATGATGTTTCTTGTCCTTGGATATATCATAAAACCACTGCCAGCTCTGTTATTTGCCTTTCCAAGGAGAATTTGTGAGCCATATTTCCATCTTAACTCTAACTTCATTTGTCTTTTGGTTTCAAGAGTGATGTGATTCGGTTCTTCCATGTTTGTCTCCTCCGTCCACCATTATCTCACGTTTAGGATATTTGCAGCTGAATTAATATTTATAGACAGTCAGAAAACTGGGTGATCTTAGCACCTTTTGCTCCCTTTTCCACTGCTTTGCCATTGCAATAGCAAAAACAGAAGAGGCTTCACAGGATTCTATTTTATGGGTTGCTGTGGTCCATGAATACGCCCCTTGAACAGCAGGCATCATCTTTTGCCAGATGCCTAAAGCCTCTTTAGGATGGTATGCCAGAGCCTCTGTACTGTGGCTCCCACTTTGAGGATCCAGAGTCATCTCCATGCCACATGGAGGCATCATAGTAGGTCTCTGTAGAAGAAGAGTTTAAAATGCAGGGAAAATTACAGATCTTTTCCTGAATTTCAAACCATTTAACTTTCATTTCTTACTCTAATGAAATCTTACTTCCAGACTTGTCTTCAGTCATTTCCCTCTTCTTAAGTGCTGCAAAATTCAACTGCTCTGGGTTTTTGGTTTTGTTTTGTTTGAAAGTTTCATGCTCTTTGATCTTGTATGTTCCATGTGTCTGGATGTCTTGCAGAATAGTTTTTATTTATATGTAGAAATAATCATTTTGGATTTTAAGCTCATAATTTAAAGTGATTGCTCTTTCTGAATGCCTACAAGACTTTGTATATTGCATTTTATGGCCCTTTTCTCATTCTGTCTTTGTATTTGTCTTCCCTATTGAACTGTAAGGATATTGAGGATTGTGTTCGTATCTTAGTCTTCTTTGTATTCCCCACAAGTGTCCAACACAGGGCCCTTTGCATGCATCTATATTCCTGGTGTATTTATTGAATGAATAAATGTGGTTGACTAATACCACCTTAGATTATAGGCTACTGGGGTCAGAAGTCAAGTTGTGTGGTTTTCATAGGGCCAAGAAGGACAAATATCAGCAGATATTTGTCTTCAACGAAAGGCTTTTAATAGAATACAGGCACACACCTAGGCAACATCATTTCTTAATAAATTATTAATAACATTATAATCATACTTTGACTGAATATATCTCACACTTCCTAAAAGTATTTAGCTCCTCACCTAAGTGACTCTGGCTCTCCTTTCAGCTCTTTTCCTATGGTACATTTCCCTACATTTTCTCACTAAATGATCTCCAGTGTCCCTTCTAGCTCTAAGCCCTATGATCGAGATTTTTTTTTTTTTGTAAAACCATCTTACAACATTAGGTGGCATAAGCCTGTACTTCACCTGTTTTCAGGTTTTTAATTTGTAACTTACAAATTTAAACCTGTTCATTGTAGAAAAAAATCATGTGTCTTTGTTTTTCAGGTGGCAGAGCGGGCACTGTATTACTGGAATAATGAATACATTATGAGTTTAATCAGTGACAATGCAGCAAAGATTCTACCCATCATGTTTCCATCTTTGTACCGTAATTCAAAGACCCATTGGAATAAGTAAGAAATAAGTTACAACTTTAACCAGCAATGTCTATACTTTGTCAGTTTTGCTGAAGCTTCTTACTAATTAGTGTTGAAATCTAGATTTTAAGCATCAGTGAAGAAAATTCAGAATTGAGACTCCAGATTTATGTAGACTCAAGTAATACTGCAGATTCTAGCAATAGTCCTTTTTTTCCCCTCCTTAGCTGCCGAGTCAACATCATGGCGTATCAGTTGACTCTCAGCCTTTATGGCTTCCACAAAGGAAATATCTCATTAGCTTCATAACCCAGAATCTCACTCAGAGAAGCTAAAGCTTCCTCTTCCTGGAGGACTTCATAGCTAATTTTTGCCCTGGAATGCTTCCCACGTCCCCGACAACAAAGGCACAGTATTCCAGGCCCATGCGCTGAGGAATCCTTGCGGTACAGAAGTTACAGTAGCTTCCTTTGTACCACCAAGATGCTAAAGAAAGAGGAGAGAATGTACTTCTAAAATAGTAATAGCATCCAAAAGAAATAAGTACATTTAATTTTATTTCCTTCTAAGTTTGTGTTCCTTTATTTCAACTGCTTATTTATTAAATTACATCTTTTGAGACATAAAGAACTTATTCTGGATTTTTCCATGAGAATTAATGTTTTCCTCCTCCAAAGTCTTGCTCCAAGCTTTCATCAAAAGCTATGCCATCAGAGCACAAGCTCTGGCAGGTAGTAACACAGTGAAAAGAATAAGTACAATGGATTTCTATACTATATTATACATTTATTTTCCAAGGATCAGCCAACCCAAGTGCACAGTCATTTTTACCAGAACAGTGGCCAACTACGAGAAGAATTTTTTTAGCCACAGCAGCGCATGAACAGCATATATTAATTTTGCCTGTAAAATATTAGTAATGCTTACATATATCAAAACATATATCAATAATCCCTTTAGGCATAAAGGGATTCTCTTCTGCATTAGTGGAAGGATTGCCCATACTGTGATAAAATTACAACTCTAACATATCATAGAAAGACTGTTATACCTGTACGCATAGAGAAATACAGCATCACGTAGCTAGAAAGGACTTTAGAGGTCATGTAGTCCAGCTCATATCTACACAGGAATCCTCTAATCCTCTTTATGTCCCTGACAAGTGGTCGTTCAGTCTCTTCTTAAACGCCTCCAATGATGGAGAACCCACTTGCTCTCAAGGACCCAGATCTCTTGTGCAGCTCACATTGTTATCAGTCTAAGAATCCAGAGTTTGAATCCCTATTCTAGCACATACTACTGCCTCTGTGATCATAAGCAAGTCGTTACTTCACTTTTCTGAAACTGTTTCTCAGCTCTGTAAAGGAGTCTTAACACAGTACTTATCTCACAGGTTTGTTGTGAGGAAAGTGCTTTATAAATCTTAAAGAAATAGAAATGTGAGATAGTATAATTGTCATCCTAAAGAACTTACAGAAGAATATGTCTATGTCTAAGGACCAGCCTAGATACATTAGAGTCATGTCACCAAGTTGGACCACAGGGTAAGGAATCTTTCAACCATAGCAATTCTTTGGTGGAAGGAATGTCCACACTGATGAAATTACAGATTATTGACCCACTCTATTTTTTTTATAGTCAACCAAAAGAAATTCCCATATTGCTCATGTCCAAAAACATGTCTCATTCTGCATATTGGTTTCCCATCACTTCAGAGATGAAGAAACTGAAACCCAGAGAAGGGATGTGATTGGCCCAAGTTCACACAACTGGAGAGTAACAGAGCTGAAACTAAAAGATTTCTTGATTCCTAAATGGGTGTCTTTGATTATATCACAGTGCCCTTCACTGACAATCATATTTGCACCCAGTCCTTTTTTTCAACAGTTGTTCCTGATTTACTTGAACATCTCTCTATGCTGGTGGTGATAGAGTTGGGTTTTTTTTTTTTTCATTGATATGGATAAGGTTTTGACTTACAGATGAGCAAATATGTGGGTGGAAAAACAGATGCACCATGTAGTTATAGTGCTACTCAGTATAATTTGATTATTGTTTCTTAAAATAGTAAACACAGTTTTCATGACTTTTATGATGTGAACATTGTCAATAATAAGTAACTAATGTCTTAAAAAGAAAAAATAACTATTGAATACCACTACTTTCAGAATATGAAGTTTGTCTATAAAAGAAGTTTTCTTAAGTACTCTAAGTAATGTTATTTTATTAAGGTTAAATAAAGATGGTTGGAATTTAAGAATAAATTTTAATGGTTTTCCTTGAGCTTTGAATATCGAAATTTCATTTTGAATATCTAAAAACTAAAAATCAATTCAGTTTTTTAGGTAGGGGTTCAACTAGGTTGGACTATTAATAGTTCCTTCTGGCTTTGTAGTCTTTTGTTTCCCCAGTTAACAAAATTTGCAAGACTGTTAAAATGATCTAAAACACTTCAGATGTTAGCTTCTGTATAAGTGACACGACACAAGTGTTTTTGTGAGACTATGTTTAGTCTTAAAGATTTCTATTCTAATTATGTTAAAATACCTACAAATTAAATGATCTCCCAAAGTGATTTAATTCTCGTTATCTAGACAGCTGGCTACTATTGACCAGTATGGCACATTATTCAGCTTAAAGTATTAAGTTTCAATCTGAAATTTTACTTGTAGAACAATACATGGCTTGATATATAATGCATTGAAACTCTTCATGGAGATGAACCAAAAACTGTTTGATGACTGCACGCAACAATTTAAAGCAGAGAAAATGAAGTAAGTTACCATCTTCTGAATGTGTTATTTCTACAGTGTCTTCCTAATTGTTGCTTATCAGCTTACCTTGCTTGTTCTAGAAAATTCCTCTTACCTTTAAAGTAAAGCTGTGGCCCTTTTTCTCAGTATAAACAGTTTCAACTTTATCCTGTAATAACTTTATTGTGAATATACTTTATGGAATGTGTTTGTTTTAATACTTTAAGTTAGACTTTCTGTCCAGGAAAAATAATACCAGCAAAAATTCTAACTGAGAGAGAATTATAATAAATCAACAAGTTATTTTGATTCCCCTCTATAAGTCAGTTTTTCTTCTCTTCCCTTCCTTCTTTTTTTATATGAAGATGTTTTCTTAATTTCTTTCTCTCCTTTTCTGTCCTTTTCTCCGACTTCTCATTTTCTTCCCCCTTTATTTATTTAATCATTTTCATGATTAGGGCCGATGGACCATTGCTAGAGGTTAGGCTTCATGAACCACATGGGGGAAGATGGCAGTCTTTCCACCTAGTTACAGACCACCAATTTAAAGAAAGATAATTAACATTCATATAGTGCTTAAAGATTTACAGAGCCCTTTATACATAGTATCTCATTTATCTTCATAAGATCCTGTGAAGTATATATAGCATATGGGAACCGTTTTCTTCATTAAGTATCTATTTCCCCATGTTACATTTGAGAAATCTGTCACAGAGAAGCTAAATGATCTGTCCATCACTCCACAGTTAGCAGGGGTCAGGAGTGGGATTCCAAACCAGGTTTCTTCTGTCTCCAAGTCTAGCACTTTGCTTCTCTCCACCTCCATCCCCTTCCCCCTACACCGCCTCCCAGAGACACTTGCACCTGTGTCTGTTGGACCTGTAATGCCAGGGTAGTAACAGGGAAACAAGGAGAAGATGCGAGTGTACAGCAGAGTTTGGGTGAGGAGTCAAAATGATAAGAAAAGAGGAATGATCCATCTGCTTACGTACGACATTTCAGGAAAGGGTAGAAAGCCCTAGTTAGCCATATTGAACAACTAACAACAAATGTGATCCCACCAGAAATCATTTTCCCCCATTCACTTAGCTTTATTAAAAACCTTTCTTCCGCCCCTCCTCAGCAGTTGCTCAGCCCAATTTATTGAGAATGAGCAAAATGGATCAACTGGTCATTTTTCCCTATGTGCCCCATTAATACATCATATTTTATAAAATATCATAGATTTCATGTTATGAAACATCTCTGTTACCGAACTTCCAAACAGAGCTTTTTGCATTCTCAAGAATTGCATAAACATTTTCATTCACATCAGTACTTATGTATTTTGAATCCATGATCTCTTCAGTGTGGGTACTCCCTCCACTGTACAAATTACTGCCCGTCTAGTCCTTCTCATTCTGTGTAGTACTTGTCCACACCTTTGCATTAAATTCCTCACAGAATAATGTGAAAATATGTTTAATAAGAATGTATATGTATAGCCTATATCATCTTGGGGAGAGAGGGGGGAGAAAAATTTAAAACTCAAAAGCTTATGAGAATGATTGTTGATAAATCAAAACAAATTAATAAAGTTAAAAAAAAATTCCTCACAGAAGATGAACCCCTACATCCTGGCAGATTTCACAGGGTCTGTAAACTAGGATGTAGGAAAAAAAATGTACATTTTAAAAGATTCTGAGGAATCTGTTGGCCTCCTGACATTTCATGAATATCAGTCTCTGGTTGGGACAGTGACTTCTCCAAAGGTCACACAGCTATAGAACCTAGGTTGCCTGACTCCCAGGACTCGTCCTTGTTAATAGTGTTTGCTCTAGCATTTCAGCTCGCTCCACCCTGTCTCCCATTTTGTCACGTACTCTGATTTTGCTTTAGATATAAATAAATTATGCCATCAAGTTAAGAGAGATTGTAGATTTTGTAGAGAAGCTTCTAGAGTAAGGTGATAAGTTATCATATGTTAAATGAAAAATCAGTGATTTTAAGTACCTGTGGATGCCATTCGTCCTTTGCAAGAGTGGAGGACTGTGACTTTGGCATGGTGCATGCCATGTCAGACACATTGGATGTGTGGTTTTCTCTTTTTTATCCTTTATTATACGGAATGGCTTATAAGTTAGGGAAGGGAAGTAGAATATATTCAGAAGTGAAGGTGAAAGACAATAAAAATGAGATAAAAATATTTTTGTCTGTTTTTAGAAATTAACCTTTTAAAACTTCTCCTTTCTGGTATTTTAATTTGAGATCTTGCTGTTTTTCAGAGAGAAGCTAAAACTGAAGGAACGGGAAGAAGCTTGGGTTAAAATAGAAAATCTAGCCAAGTCCAACCCCCAGGTACTGAAAAAAAGAGTCACATGAAAACATGGGGGGGTTTTGTGAATATCAGTATAAGATCAGGTATTTGATATCATCTTAGAGATGGAAAAAGAAACCAGTTCTACTAATAATGTATATGCACTATCTGCAATAAAAAATACTTTTAAACTTTGTAAACTTCCTCTTGTGCAAGTACTTATTTTGTGGGTCCCTCACCACCACCCCCAAAAAAAGGTTACCTCAGAATTTACTAAGTAAGTTTTTCCTTTTTTTTAAATGTGTCATTGATCTAGTTGCAGCTATAACACGTAAATTACAGTCCAGTGAAACCCTGATTTGGACCTTAGGCCTTTGGACTGCAATTGCAGCTTGCTTCTTTTCTGACAACTGTCATAAATTTTTAAAAGCCTGAAGCAAAGCCTTGCACATACTCCTTTCATTTAAAATAATACAGATTTTTTTTAATAAGTTAAATTTAAATTGATTGAAAACAAAACAGATGACTTTTTCTTCTAGAACTGCTTTAGTCTTTAATAATAACTAAGTGTGCAGCACATTGCTGCAGTTTCACAGGAGTTAGATACTGGAAGACCATACTAGAGATCACCTAGTTCAACCCCTTATTTTACAGATGAGGAACCTGAGGCACAGAGGTGTCACATGACTTGGGCATAGTCACAAATCTAGTAAGTAACAGAGCCAGGCCTTGAACCCAGGCTTTCTGACTCTGAATCTAGTACCCTTTCCATTGGTCCAGGCTGTGCTATGTATGCCAGCAGTCGGTCTGGCCTTTGCCTTCATTCATCAGAGTTATACATGTCAAAAAAAAATTGCTTTTAAAATTGAAGGCAATTTAAAAACTTTATCGAATAGATGTAGTTCCCAAATAGATTCCCAGTTTTGGCAGGATAGTTCTTTGAAATGGAGACCTTTGGTTTTGTGTACATGTGGTATTTGTACATTCAAAGCAGTATCAATTGTGAAACCTCATTACCTCCTGCCTTCTATTTGATATGTCACTGATTCTAATGATGCCTTTTATTGAATATCAGTCTCTGAGTCTTTTCCACACTAAGATTTTATTTCCAGGTTCCCTTCTACTGTGCTAAAAAGAAATAATTTCCTAACACGGTGAGAATCATTGGCTGAATCTCAAGATACAGAGAGACACCCAGTAGTTTTCCTACTAGGGTCTGTAGTTTTTTGTTTTCTTACAGAAAAAGTTTAAAAATTTCTCTTTCTATATGTTTTTCCCTGAAACTAGAGAATATTTTTAAAATATAATCACTAAAGTCTCCTTGATGAGCCGTCTCTTTTCTATCATTTATTACCATTCTACTCCAGGAGGTTTTTGACAAGCAGTGTGGTTAAATCTTAAGAGTAAATTTAAGCAAATGGAACTGTGAGGGAGATAAAATTCTGTTTGATCCAGAATTCATATGCACAATTAAGAGAGTGTTTTGTGTCATAAAATATGTATTTGTTATTTAAAATCATCAAAAATGATTTTAAAAAGAATGGTAACAAATGAGCCAGTTTTATTCCCGATTTTTAAATGTTTATGAAAATAAGCCTATTGATTTTTATTACCTTTCTGTTAGAGCTGCAAATTAAATCTCAATCATTATATCATTTCATAAGTTATTTCATAAGACTGGAAAAGTTAACTTCTTTTAAGCCATATTACATAGAAATGTTTTATTATCACTTTAAAGTATATAGTTCATAAGACACAAAGTATGTAGTATAACTTTTTCCAGTGCTTTTTTAAAAATTGTGTTCCTTTTTGTGTATAAGTTTATGCTAAGCACTTTCTGTTTAATAGGTTCATAGCATATTGTGTTTGGAATTTTATTAAGCAAATGAATTTCAAATCATATTCTTTAAGTCTTAGGAGTTTTCTTAAAAGGTACCATCAAACTGTGCAACTGATAGAGATCCTGAAGTCTTATATATGTGTGTGCCTGATGTTGCAAAGTATCTTGCTTAGATAAATTATTAATGCTGATGCCATACCAAACACACACTTGAAAATCCACAGCTAAGAATTTGTTCTCTTTGAATTTGAAGTCACTATCTTAATAAAACATAAGACACAAACCATATATCTAACATACAGGCCATATGATTGTATTTGCATAAAATATAGCAATTGAGTTAAAGTACCTTTATGCTTTACCTTAGAAAAACTAGTCAGGTATGCGGACTGAGTACATACAGTAAATAGGGATCTATGTTCGGTACTTAGTATAGCCTAATAAATGTTTTTTCTTCTTCCTTCCTTCCTTCCTAATTATTGAATTTTCTAAAGTTTGATTGTTGTGCTCTTGATTGTCATTCTTTTTCAATATTCTTGTAACTTTACCAATCATGTAAAAGTAATAGCTTTAACCCATAGTTATAGTCTTCAAATAAACCATTTTGTGATGGCAATTATAAACTTTTGTAATACCGCACCGTGAATTTAACATTGTTCTGTCTTCCCATATCTGTCTGTACCATTTGTGACTAAATCATAGTAACATCTGTCAGCACCTTACCGTTATGTAATAGTATTTGAAAATGGAAAATACTTCATGGGTTAAAATTTCAGAGTATGAAATTACAGTGGACTTAACACATGTTCTTCAAATTATTGAAGAAAAAAAACACTGGTTTATAGGCATTTCAGTATATTGCTTGCTGTCCTGTGTCTAAAATTTTACAGGTTCTATTAACTGTCATATAACAAACTAATACTAAAGAGTTTCTGTAGAATGACTGAAGATTAATTGAAGATGATATTGAGATGATTGAAGCCTAATTTTCAGTCTCAAATTTGACTTTTGGTAGGATGTGCCATAATTGTTTTATTTTTATACTAGAATTGCTAATGACTTACCATATGTCCATTGTTACATATTTAGAAAACTTGTGTTTTGCTTAGTCAGTGCTCATACATTTTCCCCAGTTTTTAAAAAAAAAAAAAAGTTCTGTTTGCATCTTTTTCTTGGATACAAAAAGCAACTATATAGAGAGGGTTGAAGGTTTGGGGCACTTTAAGAAATATTCAGTTCTGGTCAGACATATTATAATTAATCTTTTTAATTACCTAAAACAAATTATCCCTTGAATTAAATACTACTTCACCTGGCAATAAAATGCTTTGAAGTATGTAGTGGTTCCTTCCTGAGAGTGACGATTTTAACAATTTGCATTTTAGTACACAGTGTATAGTGAAGCCAGTTCCATGAATCTTCCAGTTGCAATGGAAACAGATGGGCCTTTATATGAAGATTTACAGATGCTGAAAAAGACAGTCAATGAAGAGTCACGTCAGGTAAAATTATATGGAGATAAGTTGAGCTGCTCTTAATAAATACTTATAATTTTAGCTGATGGTGCTATGTGTACCAGTACCTTTGTCTTAAATAAATCAATATAATTTAATAATACACATAGCAAATGTCACCCATGGATTTTATCTAGTAATGGAATCACTAGTATTATTAAGTGATAGTTTATTTTTTAAAATTAAATATCCTGAAACCTGTATTTTCCTTAACCTGATCTTTTAATCACAGTAATTTGAAAGCTAACCACACTACTTTTAGCTTCTGTACAACTCTTATTCTTAAAAACAATAGCAGCCTCCCACCTCCCTAGCACTTTCTCCTGCTTCCCTGCTATTTCAGTTCTAACCCTGAGGCAGCCTCCTCTCTCTCTTTGTCCAGATGACTAAATCTGCCCCACCACACTGGAAACTTCAAAGTAGAATAATTTTTTTCCCTCTCTCCACTTAATCAGGAACACTACTTGGAAGGGGGGAATAGGGCTACACAAGTTAGGGTGTCACACACACACACACACACACACACACGTCACCAAACATTGTACTAAATTCTAGAGCGTACAATGTAAGCAGAAAAGAAAGACAATTTCTGCCCATTTCACATTTTTATGTAATAATCTTACATTTTCTTGGGAGAAAATAACACTTAATTTTATTGTTATAGGGAATTCCTCATGAGCTTACCTCCCTCTACTAGGGAGCCCCCAGCATCTTCTGTGGAGTGAGCAGTCTTAGAAAATTGCCTGGGGCATTGAAAGGTTAAGTCTATGCCTAGGCAGTTAGTATGTGTCAGAGGTAGATTTGAACTCAAGGTTTCCTGTCTCAAAGAGTCTGCTTTGTATCCATTAACCCTTGCTGCCTCTGTGGCCAGTATTATTTGCTATTAATCCACCCACCAGGGTATAAGATCTATTTTATTTTTGTGTAATTTCAGCCTTATATTGGCATTCCCTCTACCAATGTAAGCTTATCACAATTAATCAGTTGAGGCAGCATGATATGGTGGGCAAAGGGAAAGGAATAATAAGCATTTATATAGCAACTACTGTGTGCCAGGCACTGTGCTAAGCGCTTTTAGAAATATTATCTCATTTGGTTCTTGCAAAAACCCTGAGAGGTAGGTGCTGTTATTATCCCCATTTTATAGCTGAGGCAAACAGAGGTGAAATGACTTGTCTAGTTTCACACAACTAGTATCTGCGGTCAAATTTGAACTCAGATCTTCCTTCAGGCCCAGAGTTCTATCCACTGTGCCCCCTAGTTAGCTCAGCTGAGGCAGCATGGTACAGGGGAAGGAACCCTAGAATGGGAGCCAGAAGACCTAAACTTTCTGTTCCTGTCTCTGCCATTGATTGGCTGTAGTGACTTCAGACATATATCTCCCTGGCTTCAGTTTCCTCATTTGTGTAAGATCCCTTCCAGCTGAGGCTGTCAGAGTTCTTGGTGAATCAAGTTTCTATCATAATCACTTCAATGGATGTTTTCTAGGTACTTCTGGCCTTGGCCTGCAGCTTTTTGTGGGGTTTTGTTTCACTAGTTATAAGAAAATTTGATTTCTTCTCCTGGTTTTATTACTTGCCGTGGAACTCATTTATCTCTGAACCTGTCTTGAGAACTGGAATAAATCCCTAAGTTCCCTTCTAGCTCCAGTTCTGTGCTTTATGAACTTGAAGTATGTCTTTGGTAGTGATGGGTCCAAATAGAATGTCAGGTCTGCCCCATTGGAGGCTATTTCATAGGTTTAAGCTTTAGAGGAGAATTTCTTCTGGTATAGATCATTTAGCCTCTCCCAGGATTTAAGTAGCTCCCTTATTTCTTCCCTCAAGATCACCCATTCATATGTTAAATGAATAAGCATGAATTTAGCCATAAGCAGATTCAGGAAAACTGAACCTAGAAATAGCTCCACCAGAGTGTAACATATTATAGCACAAAGGTGACCTTGGGTTCTCAAAAAGTATGAAAACTCTAGCAGGTCCTGCCAAGCTTTAATGGTGTCAAGAACAGGCCTTCAAACAGTCTGTCAGTTTTCTGAGTACCAGACTAGCTAAGTTTGGAAATAGTTATTAATAGGTCATCCATGGGGGTGATGGATTTTTCAGCCACAACTCACGCTGATAGTTGTGATCTATGTGAGAATAAGGATTTCCTCACTTAATGACATCTGTCTGTGTAGCTACTTTGCTCTTTAACCACCACGGAATATACCTTTGAGAAGTCTCAAAATTAATTAGCAAAATATTTAATGTTTCTTTTTAAAAACCAACCCTTTATCATAACTATGAACTGTGTTTTATGTGGTGTATAACAAACTACACTTTGCTTACAATTAATTGCTAAGCCCAATTAATGCAAAAAAGACTATAGTTTTGTTTTTGTTTTGTTTTTTTCAAATCCAGTAAGTCAAGACATACTCCACTAAATTAATTATGGATCTAGACAGATGTAGCAATCATTTTTAAATAATGTTTGATGAAAGAGTTCAATATTGTAAACACCAGAAAGCAGCAGGCCTTAATAGCAGCTCCCATGTCATCTCTGAGTCTGGGTGTTGAAATAGGTCAGTGAGCATTTTTTTCCATCTCATTGAAGTTTTAAAATTATGAACATTTGCAGGCTTAAGGTGTAAAGGACTCCCTTGGAAACATGAGTAATCCATATGTTGCATAATCTGGTTATCACTAGATTTCATACTTTTGTGAGATAACTCAGTGCTTTGTGAAATTAAGCTTTTCCAAGAGTTATTTTGGTTTTAGGGTTGTTGTTGTTTTTTAACTTCTTTTGAAAAGTAAAGGAAAGAATTCAAATTAATTCTCCTTGATGGACCCAATGAACAAGTGCCATTTTAGTTTTGCTTAATTTATTTGAGAGCTGACCTTGGGGTCAGGAAGTCCTGCCTCTGACCTACACTGATAGAAGTTTCCTGTGCCAATGAAATCACAGACTAGTCTCTGCCTTCTTAATCTAAGTTGTTTTTGTTTTTTCAAAGAATACCACTATAATAACTCTTAAGAAGGTCTAGTGATTTGATAGCATGCAGCCCAGAATCAGAGTTGATTGTCCTCCAACCAACTATAAAAATAGCCAACCGTGAACCCAAATCATGTAACAACTTAGGCTAGGAAAGCTAAAAATGATGCCCTTTCTCATCCAGTGGAGGCTTCGTGCCTCTATAAGGATAGGACACCTATTTTAATTGTAAGGGTTGACAGTTTTGGACTTTTACAGCATTACTTCAAACAAATGCAGTTCCCAGGGATTTAGAATACCATTGCTTGTAAGAATAGCATAGGTCTCTGGCATACTAACAACTTTGGCTATACCTGTGAGGATAAGAAACAATTTGATCTATAAATATCATATTAAGTCAGAACTGAAACTAAGGAAATAAGTAGCTTAGACTAAAATTTGAATTTCTCATTCAAGCTACTTTCAGGCCCGGAACCTAAATACTTAAGGAAAGGGAAGGAGAGAGGGGAACAAGCATTTATTAATTGTTGGCTGTATGCAAGGCACTATACTAAGTGCTTTACAAATATTTATCTCATTTGATCCTCACAACCCTGTGAGGTAAGTGCCATTGTTACCATTTTACAGTTGAGAAAACTAAGTTATAATGATAGAGAGGAGGGCAGATTGGGAAAGGGGGTAATCAGAAGCAAATGCTTCTGAGGAGGGACAGGGTCAAAAGAAAGAATAGAATAAGTGGCGGGGGGGATAGGATTAAGGGAAATAGAGTTAGTTTTTCACAGCATGTCTACTATGGAAGTGTTTTGCATAACTGCACATGTATAGCCTGTATTGAGTTGCTTGCCTTTTCAATGAGGGTGCGTGGGGAGGGAGGAAGGGAGAAAATTTGGAACCCAAAGTTTTAAAAACACATGTTTTAAAAAAATGTTTTCACATGCAACTGGGAAATAAGAAATACAGGAAATCTATCCTGCCATACAGGAAAATAGAAGGGGAATGGGGACAGATAGCAGGAAAAGCAGACTAGGGGAAGGGATGCATACCATCTTGGGGTGGGGGAGGGGCGAGATGGGGTAAGAATTTGGAACACAAAATCTTGTGGAAGTAAATGTTGAAAACTAAAAATAAAAAAAAAAATTAAAATCTAAAAACAAAAAACAAACAAAAAAAAGAAACACTAAGTCATACAGCTAGTAAATGTCTGAGGCTGGACTTGTATTTTTGAGTCTTCCTGACTCCAGGCCCAATGCTTTTTCTACTGCACCACTTAACTACCTGTCTCTCTAACTACTTAATAGGTTTTTGACCACCACAGCATATTCCTTTAAGAAATCACAAAATTAATACAGTCAGACATTAAGAGAAATGTATATAAATACCTAACAGGAATGTGCAAAATGCCATAAAAGATGCCATAGCATTTTAAAATTGGAAAGGACCTTAGGAGCTAAATGCCTTGGGTACAGGTAGAGGATTTTATTGTCGGGTAAGAGAGGGTCCTAGAATTCCATTCTGGATGAGCCCTCATGCATATTTATACATACCATATTTTAATCTCTTTTGGTGAAAGGACTGTATTACGTTTTTGTCTGTGTTTATGTGATATTTAATCCAATTCAGACCCTCCTTTTTACTTGTGGTGTCACTGAAGCACATGCAATTTGCCCATAGTCACAAGGCAAGTTAGTGACCTAAGTGGGGACAAGAACTGAAGTCTTTTTATTCCCAGTTCATTATTCTTCTACATCATGCAGCCTTAGTACTAATGAACTACAAAACCTAAGTCAAGCTGGGCAGAGTGAAGTAGAGTTGTTTTAAGTATCAAATGAGGAAGAGCAGGGAAGAAGGAGTAGATAGAAATGGAAACAAGCAGTGTTCTTAGACCTTAAGGCTGTTCTGTCTTTGAGTGTTTTATGTTTATTTGTGTGGTACCTTACTCTCAACAGCCTCACTGAGGCGACCAAATACACCAACAGGTTGATCTGTGTGCTTCTTCGAGGAAATCTGACACTTTAGTAATTTTCTTTATACTACAGTCAAATGTTGATTGATTGATTGATTAATTCTGGGCTCTTAAAGATTATTCCAAGGGGTCATGAGCTCTTGGGTCCCATCAGACTAGAATAACTTCAAATGCCCACATAGCAATAACTTGACTATCTTCAGAGGTTTTACTTACTTAATCATGAACATCATTGGTCATCAGGGGATCAATTTAAGGTTGAGCAATTCGTGAAGACCTTCCTCTGGCTTTGATCTGCATTAGTTGGGGGTTGCCCAGTGAAGTATTAAAGTAGTAATTGATCATTAGTAACTGAGCACTTTCTTGAACAATTATAATATGTGTGTGTTATAATCAGGAAGAGAATGTCATCTCTCACGTAGGTAGCATTTACCACAGCACCTCCAGTGTTTAGTACTATGACTGGCACATAGTAGGTACTTAATAAAAGCTTCTTGATTTGGCTTATAGTATCATCATATAAGAGCAGACATTTAGAAAGGGATTTATTTATTAAGTGCATGCTTTATGCAGGGCCCTATACTAAGCACAGTATACAAAAGAGCATGCTCTGCTTTCAAGGTTATTATACTCTAGTTAAGTGAACAGACTCTGCAAAAAAACTGTAACACAGGGAGCATGAGATAAGTACAAAAATAAGGCATAGGCTTGTTTTAGTAGGGGAAGCAATCACATGGGGGAGGCAGGGAGGGAATACTTATTGGTAGTCCTTGGTTTATTTTTCATTAATTATCATTTAGATAATATCATCTTTGAGGCTATCATATCAATAGTTCTGTTCTGACAAAAACCATCGGTCCGTAACTTCTGGAGGACCAAGTTAAAAGTCTTGTCCCTAACTTCAGCTATTCTGGATTAAGAATAGAGCCTCTATTTATAAAATATTGGCAGGATTTGCTTTTGAACCTTTAACATTGTTTTAAAAATTGATTTCTTAATATGTATTCATTAATTTTCCCAGTTAGGTTCCCCCTGATTGTTTGGCCACTATATTGTTAGGAAAGCAAAGAGAACTAACAATTGGAACAGTTGCTTGTGTTAGTTTTAGGTTAAGTCAAATATCTTTTTTTCTTTCTTTTTTTTTAAGAAATGGTCCGATTCAGTCTTTGGAACATTAACTTTTGTGCTATAGTGGTATTTGGTACATTGGGTTGTTTTTTTATTTCTTATTAAATTCATTTTTGCAGAGTGATAAAGTACTGAAATTTGAACTAGATTCCTTAAAAATAATTTGTATCCAAAATTGGAAATAATCACAGGACTTGAAAATTATGTTAAATTAATGTAAAAAATAAAATGAAACATCTGGAGAAGGAACCACTAAAGCAATTTAATAGTTAATTAAAGGCATTCATTTCCATTCCTCTGAAGAATTTTATTGGGATAATAGTTCTGAGGAATATGTAAAATCCAAAATTTTCACTCAGAAACTTTTGTGAAAACTTATGTGAACATCTATAAAGGATGTCAGATAGACTCTACTAAATTTAATATGCATCATATTTTGAACAGAGAGATTTAAAATGTTTGCACTTCTTATTTTAACAGTTGGTCGGGAGAAAAACAGTTACACCCTTGCAGATAAGGAAGGTGTAAAAAAGAAAAGTGTGAAGTGAAGGTATTCATTATTAAACATGTACAGTGTATTTAAAAAGCTTTAACTTTAGAAAACAACAGAACTTTTTAAAAGTACATAATTTTATACATGAAGTATTTTCCTTTTTTCATGTCATTCCCACTTTGTGACAATAGTCACAAAATTGTATTTTAGAAACTTCGATCCTTACCTAGTTTTTTTTTATTATTTTTATCCTGACTTGGATTATAGTGAGCTGCTAACCCTATTAGAAGGGAAGAAATGAACCATTAAGCCCATTTTATTCTATTACTTTTAATATTTATTTCAAAGTCTGGCCTTTTAAAGGAGATTTCAGGAGTTTGTCATTTCACTTGTTTCAAATCTGTTGCTAAGTAATTTTTTTCTAGTAATCATCCTAATGCATTTGTGATTGCCATCTCCTCCAGCAAGCATCATTCATTCAGTCTGATGAATTGCATGTCTGTCTTCACTTCTGTTTTCTCATTTTCTCCCTTGTGAATTATAAAATTGTTCTCTTTTTGATCCTCCAAATGAGAGTATTTAATTACAAAAGCCCCTGTATGTGTGTCACAATTTTTTGCCCTGCAGAAAGTTTTCTAAATTCAGATTCATCAGTTCTGAGGGTTTAATCATTGTCATTACTGTCAAAATACAATTATGGTTACTATGAAATACCTGCCTCTAAAATGATTAAATATTCTAGATTGATTTTTTTTTCAATGGTTACTATGACTTGTCTGGAAGATTCAAAGAAAAATCTAAGAGTACAGAGGAATAGTACTTGTCCTCCAGGATTTCTTATGTTGGTGGTTCTGTTGGACCCATTTCTTAACTGGACTTCCATACATTTGCCATCATTCCTAAGGAAAAAGACACTCAAAAGATAAAAAGTTTCCTTGAAAGAATTAGAATTATTTCATTATGGTGAATAAATAACAGTTAACCTTACCTGAAGTAATCCTAAAATAACGTCAAATTAGAAATCTTTGTTAGTCTTAATATTATCACTGTTTCTGTAGATCCATATTCAAAGATCTATTCCCCAAATGGTCATTGGAAAAAGATGAGAGAGATTTCTTTGCAAATGTAACCTTCATCTAATCAATTTCTAAATGCTAACATACAGTTTATTTTTGTTTTACATAGCTGTGCACCAGTTTGGTATTCATTTCATCAGAAGTTAGTATGGTTAGGTGTCAGAAAGGTACACCCAAGAAGATGACTGTTACAGTTAGATCACATCTGTTGTCAGATGACTTCCTACTAAGAAATAATTTCATCTGGATGTTGATACAACACTTTTGACAACTAATTACTACATTTAAATATTATGGTTGGTTTTTCCCCCCACAGCTCTAAGATACTTACATATCTGACTCAACCAAAGGGACGGAAAAGATGATTGTTTGCATGTTATTTGATATGGTTTCTGATTATCTAGTTTGTTTGTTTTTTAATAGAAATTTTTTTGTGACATCTGCTTTGTGGCTGTGTTTGGGCATCTTGCTAATTTATTGCCTCAAAAGTATAAATTGATAGCTATTTTGATATTTATTGCCCAGGCTATCATTTTAAAGCTATATGAATATTTTCACTACTGATTATTTTAAAGTATCATTGATGGAAATGGATTGCTACCATTAATCGGCTCCCCAAATGCCTTTAATATTGAGGCTTTAATATTATTTAATATTATTAAAGTATTTAATATTTAATATTATTCAATTTCACATGCAAAAAGGAGGCCTTATTTAACTTAAGCAGACCTATTTACCAGAAAGAAAAAGTAGTATCCTGAAATCCAAATAGTATAGGGCAAGGGACACATCTATTCTTCTATATTTAAGAATTGAAATATAATTAAATACATTTCTCTAAATAGCCCTTTTAACTTTCATTTGTAAATCATGCATCTTTTATTCATTTTAAATCTAAGTTAAAGAATTGTCATTCCTCCTCTTACCTCCAGTTGAAACTGTGTGAAACTTCTCCACTTTAAGTACAGTAGTAGCAAGTTGCATATAAAAGTCCTTCTATGAAGTAGCCAGAAATTGGACTCAGAAAACTTAAAGAAGAACGCCTGCAAAATGGAATAGACAAGTTTATGAGCTTTTTTACAAACAATAATAAAGATGCGAAAATGCCAGCATTTGACACATACTGTTTCCCTTTCTCATTTCATTTGAAGAAATCTTGTTACTGTTTAGTATTCCCAGCAACGGAGTAAAGCCCTTCATATGATACATATTTACCCAATTTTTAACCACTTTTCTGAAATGTATTTCATTCTTTCAGATAGCTTAGTTTTTAGCCAACTTCATTGCATTTTTAATTTCAGGCACAGAAAGATCAGAAAAAGGATCGTCCTCTTGTGCGACGCAAGTCAGAACTGCCTCAGGATATCTATACCATGAAAGCCTTGGAATCCCATTGCAGAGCTGATGAGATAATATCACATGATGGGCATTAGCTTATTACCATGGAATATATGGGGAGGAGGCATATTCTTTTGGACTTAGTAGAAAATACATACATCTTGTGCCATACAGATCAGTTGTACTCAAAGTCAAAAGCTTTTTTCAACCCAGTTCTGTAGGCAATAACTTAATTCAGCAAACAGCTCAAGATCAGTAGTTCAAACAATGGTAAATTATCAGGCTCCATTTGCAGAACCATGGGTTGATAAGTATTAAGTGACCACGTTTTTCAGGTGGTGGTGCCGTCATAACCCCAGCATATTCTAAATATGAGTATTTCAGTTAAACATTAGAGCCAAATAGAAAAGCACCCTGATCATAATCAACTCCATATTCAAACAGAACAAAATTTGTATCCATTAAAAATAGCTGGTACTATGATAATGTCAGATGTTTCAGAATTGAAAAGTATACTTTAAAGTATTACACATTTTAAGACTTTACAACCTTAAAATTATTTCCACATTGTTCTATACCAGCAGTTTTTAAAGTACATGAAAACGATTCTTTCATATTTTAACACAGCTTACAAAAATTGACTTATGACAATCCTCAGTCGCTGTTGTTTTTCTGTTATTTCTGTTATTTCTTTACTTTGGATAGAGACATATGTATTGTGTCTTAGTAGTTCTACATATATCTAAAGCCATATCTTCAGGTCTTTCATACAGCACCAGTATTCCAGGAGTAAAATGGTAGAAGAAATTTGTTTTCCTAAGAGCTTTTTCTGTCTACCTTAACTGGAATTGGATTAAATTTTTTTAAGTGTTTCATTTTCCAAATTTTATTTTACCTTTAATTGAACATTGTTGCCCCTTATCCAGGCTCTGGAACCTTAGTAAGATACTTGGGCTCTAAGAGTTCAGAATTTTGTAGAAAAGTTAGAATAAAGTCATTTTAAGTTGAATCATTTCTCGGCCTAGCCCAGCCTGCTGCCTTCCAGTGAAACTAAACATCGATTATATAATGTGCCAGGTATTAAAATGACATTGTTCTATGTCTTTGAGTAAGTGTTGGTCTCAGAGCTTAGAGGAGGCAACAGTGATGGTAATTTTACGTAAATGTATATTTTTTTTTTCTGTTGAAAAGAGCACACATGTTACAAATACACCTCACAAGTAAAATGAAAATGCATCTGTTTCCATTGAACTTCAAATGCTGCTATATATTCCACAAACTTACTTGCATGTAATGTACTTTTTGTTTTAAATGGAACAGCACGGGGGAGGGGTGGGAGGGAACTCTAACTTAGTGCTTTGTCTATTTTTTATTTTCTCTCAGGGTGGCCAGTATTTTGACTTATTTATCCTGCTTGAAAGCTGTTTGAGATGTGTTCTGCTATTCTAAATGGGTGGTTCTAGCTTCTTTTATCTCTGACAGTAAAATGATATAACTTTAATGTTACATGTCAATGCATAAGAAGATAAAATGTGGCTTCTTTAAAGATTTTTTTTTATTAAACAATAAAATGAGATCTCCTGCATCCATAAAAGATATTGTGAAAAAACAGACATATAGATAACTTGTGCAGATGTAGTGCCTGCTATCTGTCAGTTTCATTCAAAATCCATTTCCAATGTTTATTTCCTTTTGTTTCAGAGGAAAATCATTTTTTGGGGGAGGGGATTTATTGTAATGAGAGAGAACTTAATTAAAAGACTGCCCCTGCTTTAAAGTGGAAAAGTCCGCTTTGTAAGAACAAATAACTTCCTGTGAAACTTGAAAAGTATCTGCTTTAGCATTATGAAAACCTATAATTTTAAAAAAAAGTTTAGATGCCTTCTCCTTTTGAGGGAAAAAGGGTGCTTTTTTATTGTATAAAGCAGTGTCTTATGTATTTTGATATACCATTGTTTGAACTTCCATCTTTAGCTGGTAGATTATCAATAGATTTGATTTGGGGTGTTCACTATGTTTGTGCAAGAGGTTTCTGGAAAGAGGTCATCTCCTTTTTTGCCCTAAGAATAAAAGCATATATATCAATGTTTGGTTGATTATGTAAAAGCTCAGCTTTTAAAGAACATCTCTAAATTTTATTTCTACGCTTTATTGAAGTTAAACATTCACCAAAAAAAAAAAGATAGATGTGATAGTTTTTCGAGAGAAACTAATTTCTGCTTAGGTCAAAAGTATGACCTGATATGATACTTTGGCCCATTCAGGTTTTCATAGTCAGTGCTAAGATTCGCTTTGCTAACTGTTCAACTTATTGTCCAGGTATATCGTGTAATTTATACTGAGCTAATTTTAAAACTGTTCCATCAAAAGTAAGTTAGAATTTTGGTGATTGTTTTCTTCATGAAGTTCTATGTTTAACATCTTCACATTTTCCAAAACATACCTGTGCATCGGGAATGTCAACAATATTACAAGTGTCTTTTTAGTGTGGCTTTAGTATGGCTTCATTTTAATATTGTACATACATTGTACTTTGTTTATGGTAATAAGTAATAAAAATGTAGACTTCATATTTTGTACAAAATGTCCTATGTACAGAATAAAAAACGTTCATAGAAACAGCAAACATAGGTAAGTGGCACAATTATTTTTCTTTAGACAATATCTGTAACTTTATGCTTTAGTGAAATGTTAAGTTCAACTGTACCTACGTTTTTTAACATTTTGTAATTCAAGACTTTTTGTTCTGACATTGTTTATGAAGAGAAACTTCATACACTTGCCATTTAATATGCTCTTTTATCTAATTTTAAAATTCTAAAAATGGTGTATTATAATGGTCTAAATAAAGAACATGTGAGTTTTACTTGTTCATCATGAAACTAAATATAGCTGCAGTATTGGGTAATCTGCTTCTGGTGAATACTCAAAATAACATTGGTTTGGTTTTTGTTTTTATTTCATCCAGAATACCTAGATATTGGTATGAAAATTAGAAAGGAGGCTTGAAGTTAATTAACAATTATTTTTTAAAGTGCTCCATAAACTAATTTTAAAGCTTTGTAAATAAAAATTTTCATAGAATGATTTTTTTTTAAGATTGCCAGCCTGACCCTTTTTTCTGATTAACTAACACAAGCCAGAACCAAAGAGAAATTTTAGAAGTTTCACAAGTGACGTTATTTGAGTTTTGTGAATTCTTGTATTTAAGGAAAGCAAACTATGAGAGGTTTTGAAAATATTAGTCATTTTTAACATTGGATCCCAGATCATCTTTTTTCCTACATCCTATTAAGTTGGTTACTATGATCAGTAATACTGTTTTGGGATTAATGAATGTTAATATACATAGTAAATACTCTTTAAAGAAGACAGTCCAAAGGAGGCAAGAGAACAAAGTTCTGGTTTCTTTCCACAATTATTTAACCCACGTCAGTCAAAAGTGCTCCATTAGAAAGCACTTTGCAAAACTCTAATGTGTTATGTAAATAATTTTAAAAAAAAAAAACGTAAATATGGGGCAGCTAGGTGGCACAGTGGATAGAGCACTGGCCCTGGAGCCAGGAGGCCCTGAGTTCAAATCTGGCCTCAGATACTTGACACTTACTAGCTGTGTGACCCTGGGCAAGTCACTTAACCCCAATTGCCTAGCCCAAAAAAAAAAAAAATACATATACACCCTGGAGTTTCAAGAATGCTATTATATAAATTCAGCTTGATACCTGTTCAACTTGAACATCCTGTTCCCAAAGCACCAGCACTTACAGCAGTGTTATGCTAACAGCTCAGTTTTAAAATGAAAAATTATAGAACAAAACCAGAAGGGACCTAGGCTTAGAATAGGCCCAGAGAGAAGACTTAACTCAGTCACAGTAAGTTAATGGCAGAGGTAGCTAGAACCCAGAAATCTGTACACTAATTCTTAAAGCACCTACCATGTTCAAAGCACTGCTAGATATAGAAAGATTAGCTCTTTGCTAGCTTCCTCTGCAGCTTAGAGAAGGTTTAGCCACAGACTCATGCTGTACTTACTGCCTGTGTCATCCAACCAGGGGCTGAGCCATAGCAATTCAGGAAGCCTGTGTATTGAGGTGTGAGGGGTTAACAGCATCAGGAGAGGAAGCACCTAACTAATGAATACATGGGTCCTTGGAGTCATTTTTCATACGATTTCTGGGGGAACAAGGAATCTCATGTTCCAATATCCAAATAAAGCTAACATTGCTTGTATTTGCTAACATTGCTTATATTTGTTATAGAATCAAGCTAATATACTAAGGCAGGGTTTAGCCTTTGCAGTTTTTTAATAGTTAAATGAATTACTTGAATAAGAGTCAAAAGGATTACTTGGTTATCTTATGTTTATTCCTGTTAACTAAAAAAATTGTAAGTAGGGCAGGATCTTTTTCGAAGTCCATTTGGCAGTGCTTTATTGGGAAAAGCTTTGAACTTCAGCCAAAATGCCCATGTGGGGAAAGGCTACTGTGAGGTCTGCAAAAGAGAGAGAGAGAGATTATTATCCCAAAGACATGAATTTCATCATCTAGCTTTGGTGATCTCCTCTAAAATGTGCTTTATTGTAAGTTGCCTCTAAGCAAATAAGTACTTTATAACCATTTTCCTTTTGACTTCCCCAGTAATTTCGACTGGACCACAAAATCCACTTTTGCCAGTGAATCTCCTATCCTTACTAGTTCTTCGGTTTATGGCGAAGACCATCTACGTTAGAATTTGTCCATCAGCTCCTTTCTAATTGCATAAACAGTCACAAAGTTATTTCCTGTACAATTCACACTGGGACAGTTTTTCTGGTAGAAAAGCTCTGGGGAAAATCACCTGTGGGTTCAGATGATGCTGAAACAGACTTTTACCTTCCAACTTTGCGTTTTACTTTTTTGTCTAGTAAGAATAGAAACGACCTCCATTGTGAGGTACTTCTCGTAATGGTCCCTGATGAAAAAGAGACATCTTCCTACTTCGTAATAGATTCTGTCAAATCTTAACTGATGATTTTTGTTTTAGAGTCTGAACTGAAACTATTAGAGAGGAAGGAAAATATGGAAAGAAAATTTTACTGTTAAATCACTACCTTTTAGATAATCTCGTTCTACAAACCCTTTTTCACTCATTACTAAATTTAAGCATTCATTCAGAAAATTCCATGAGCAAATTAGTTACCTGCATCTTTTCACTGTTATCTGAAAAATACAGAATGTGAGGCCTCCCAAAGTATTCAAGTGAAAACTAAGCACTTTGAATGCAATTAACAAAATGCATGAATTTTTAGAACTAATATAGCTAGAAAACATCTGCAAAGGGGGAGAGCTTTTTAGTTAAAGCAAACTTTTGAAGTACTGAAAACTGCTGTAAACTGTAGAAGATATTGGTGATTCTTACTAATAGAACTTGTAGAAAAACCAAATTTCATTTCAGACTGCATCTGAAGTAGAAATAAGCTAACCATCTCAAGAAGCTAACCCCTTTTCACTAACTCAAGGATCAAACAACTTGTACTCTTTAAAGTGAATTAGACAGGTGCCATTTTCCAAGATTCCAGAGAGCTGTTAAAGTGGGCAATGTTATTCACTTTCCCTGCCCACCCCCCAAAAAAAATTTTTTTAAATAAAAAACCTTACTGTTAAGTGAACTGGGATGTATATATCTCTTATCTGTTGAGGAGGAGGAGGAGGAGGAGGAGAAGGGAGGGAATACAGAAGGAAGAAAAATCATTAGCTTGCCAGAAGCTTTTTCTAAGAGTGATTCTAGTAGCACTCGAACAGTGCCAATGCATCGAAAAGCTGAGGGGGAAAAAAATCACTTTTCTTCTCTAGCCTGACAACTGAAGACACTATGACACTGTTAGAAAATTTTAAATGGACATTAAATATCTGTTAGGTGTAAGAGAAAGAAGATAGTCATCTTTTAGAAACTTAAAATTAAGTCTTCAGACCAAAATGCCTGTATATCGTGTAATATAGGTACCTTAAATATAAAATACAAACCACGATAAAATCATCTAGGATATATGTGGTAGAAATTGGCTACTTCTGGGGCAACTAGGTGGCGCAGTGGATAGAGGACCAACCCTGAAGTCAAGAGGACCAGAGTTCAAATCCAGCCTCAGACCACTTTACACTTGTTAGCTGTATGACCCTCAGCAAGTCACTTAACCCCAATTGCCTTAAAAAAAAAAAAGAAACAAAATTGGCTACTTCTTGGCCAAAGAACACGAGTCAAAAACTATATTGTTCAGAATGTTACCAGAGTTCCTTTTAACTGCCTTCTGAATCTGAGCCGCACAAGGAAATATATCATTATACTGTAGTCACA